CACATGCTAATTGTAATGCCTCCCCTTCTTTCCTTCCCCCCACTTATCCCTCCCTTCCCACCCATCATCCCCAGTTCCTTTCCCTTTGGTAACTGTTAGTCCATTCTTGGGTTCTGTGAGTCTCCTGCTGTTTTGTTCCTTCAGTTTTTCTTTGTTCTTATATTCCACATATAAGTGAAATCATTTGGTATTTCTCTTTCTCCACCTGACTTATTTCACTGAGTGTAATACCCTCTAGCTCCATCCATGTTGCTGCAAATGGTAGGATTTGTTTTCTTCTTATGGCTGAATAATATTCCATTGTGTATATGTACCACATCTTCTTTATCCATTCATCTACTGATGGACACGTAGGTTGTTTCCATTTCTTGGCTATTGTAAATAGTGCTGTGATAAACATAGGGGTGCTTCTGTCTTTTTCAAACTGGGCTGCTGTATTCTTAGGGTAAATTCCTAGAAGTCCTGATGTTTTCTTTGAATGTTTTTTCCTGTAGTTTTAAGTTAGATGCTTGGCTTATTAATTTCTAGTCGTCTTTCCAATGTAAGCATTTAAGGATCTGATTTTCCATCCAAGTACTATTTTAGCAACATTCTACACATTTTAATTTGTGGCTATTTCATTATCTTTCTGTTCTGATTACCTTATTATTTAGAGTGCAGCTAGACTTCCAAGCATGTAGAGAATTTGAAACTATCTTTTGTTACCCGTTCCTGACAGACACGGATGTGCTCTTGGATGCTGGTTTCTTTTTCCCCAGGCCGGGCAGTTTCTGATCCATGTTACACTCTTCAGTGAACCTCCTTCCACCCGCTCTCTGGCAGGGTGCCAGCCCTGCTGCCTCTTAGCCTTCTCCTGTGTAGTTTCTGTACCTGAAATACATACCCCCCTCCCACTGCAAGACTCACCCTACGCCAGTCTGCTTCTCACCCTCCTGAAGCGTCTCGCGGCTCCCATCACTTCCCTCTCATGAACCACACTACGTAGCACTCGTTTTCTCTCCGACTCCCCAGGAGTCAGCTCCACGAGAGCAGGTCCGGGGGTCTGTCGTAGTCACCGCCATTCCCCCCCACTGGCCTGGGCATGGGATGAATGCTTATTAGTCATCGAGTAAGGAGAGGCTCCTCTTCCTGGGCATCCTGCAGGTCCTCATCAGCATGGTGTACCTGCCCGAGGCCATGCCTGCCTCCTTCCAAGCCATCTATACCCCAGTGGAGTCAGCAGGCACTGAAGCCCAGATCAAGCACCTGGCTCGGCTCATGGCCACACAGATGACGGCTGCAGGACTGGGGCCAGGTGAGTGTCACATGACATTGAGCCATATCAGGGGTTGGCACTGGGGCTGCTGAGCTCTTCTTGTTGGAAGAGTACCTCCTTGTGGTGGTACAAATGAAAAACACATGCAATCTTGAGTATAAATAATTAGAGATCCTATAGACTTATTGAGTACTCGGTATTTTCAGGTCCTGAACTTTGAAATCCAACAGACCTGGGTTTGAGGTCTGAGGTGACCCATACTGTCTCAGCCACTTAATAGCTAGGTGACTTTGGTCAAGTCACTTAACCTCTTTGATGCCCAAGTGTTCCAATTTTAATACCACTGCCGAGATATAAATTATGTACAGTTAAACACACCACTCTAAAGTATATACACCTTAGTGAATTTTCATAAGGTGAATACACTCGTGGAGATATAGACTATATCAGCTGCTCTGGAAAGTTCCTTTTTGCTCCTTTCCAGTCAATATTCACAGCATCCAACCTCCAGAGACACCTCCTATTCTGATTTCTATCTCCATAGGTTAGTTTTCCTTAGTCTTGAGCTTCATCTAAGTGGGATCACAGAGTCTGGCTCCTTTTGCTCAGCATAATCTTTCAAGATTCTTCTATGTTGTTACGTGAATCAGTGGTTTATTTTTTATTGCTCAGTAGTATTCCCTTACGTGACTAGGCTGCCTTCGTTTCTCCATGGCTCTGGTTGGTGGACCTGTGTTTCCAGTTTTGGCATTGTGAATGAAGCTGCTATGAACATTTTTGTAGTTTTTATTTATTTATTTATGTTATTAATGTACAATTACATGAGCAACATTGTGGTTACTAGACTCCCCCTATTATCAAGTCCCCCCCCCCACATGCCCCATCACAGTCACTGTCCAGCCGTGTAGTGAGATGCTATAGAATCACTACTTGTCTTCTCTGTGCTATGCTGCCTTCCTAGTGGCCCCCCCTGCTACATTATGTGTGCTAATTGTAATGCCTCATTTTCCCCCTTATTCCTTCCTTCCCCCTTCTCCCCAGTCCCTTTCCCTTTGGGAACTGTTAGTCTACTCTTGGGTTCTGTGATTCTGCTGCTGTTTTGTTCCTTCAGTTTTTTCTTTGTTCTTATACTGCACAGATGAGTGAAATCATTTGATACTTGCTTTCTCTACCTGGCTTATTTCACTGAGCATATTGTAGTGTTTTGATGCACACATGCCCTCATTTATCTTGAGTATATACTGGAGTGGAATTATTGGGTCATGGGTTAGGGTATGTTCAGGGTTATTAGAAAATGCTCATTAGCTTTTCCAAATTTGGTGTTCCTCCCAGCAGTGAATGGCATTCCTGGTTTGAGCCTCAGTTGTTACACTGCAAAATGGGGATAACAAGGGTGCCTGCTCCAGAAGGGCATTCTGTAGGTTTCGATGAGTTTTGTGTGTACACGGCTTTGAATAGAGCCTGGTGCACAGGAGGTCCTTGGGTGGGAGCAGGTGGGTCTGACATGCCTGGAGCCCATTCGCGCCTCCCTCTCAGGTGTGGAACAGACCAAACTGTGCAAGGAGGAGCCTAAGGAGGAGAAGGTGGTAAAGCCGGAGAGCGTCCTGATCAAGCGACGCCTGTCAGCCCAGGGCCAGGCCATCTCCGTGGTGGGCTCCCTGAGCTCCATGTGCACCCTAGAGGAGGAGGCACCCCAGGCCAAGAGGAGGCCAGAGCCCATCATCCCCGTCACGCAGACCCGGTGAGTCCCCTTGCAGGTGGTGGCACAGGACTAGGGGCCTGGCTCTTGGGGGGTGAGGGGGGAGGAGTGTGAGACAGACAGACAAACAAAGACAGATACACAGGTAAGATCGGACAAGGGTCTGTCTGATTCAGAGTCCATGCCATAACCACTAAGCCTTAGTTGTTTTCTTTTACATAAAAACGCTCTTTTATGCTTAAAATCAGAATGATAATCTCTCTAAGGATCAAGGGAGAATTGAGTGAGTTCACAGTGATGGTTAGATAATTCATTTAGTTAACTCCTGAAGGGTCGTCAGTGATGAAGAGCATTTAGCATGACTCCTGACACGTAGTGAGTGCTGCCTGCTGGCTGTTGCCATCATCATCCTCATGTTACCCAACCCGGGCTTGCCAGGAGGGCCCAGCGTGCTGCCTCGTCAAGCTCCCTGCTCTGCTCACTTCCTCCTCCTGCTGCAGGGGCCCCTTGCTAGTTCTTGGGGAGCCCAGCAGGCCCCCGCTTGAAGGCCCCTGCCACTTCCTATTCTCTCTGCCTGGAATGCTCATCCTCCACATAGATGTTTGTCTCGGCCCCTCGCTCCACTCAGAGCCCCACTCACATGTTGCTTCCTCGCGGAAGCCTTCCCTGACACACCCTTTACAGAAACAAAGTAGCATCCTTTCTTGTTACCCCCACGTCCTGCCGTGCTTCAGCATCCCTGGGGAGTCAGGGAGGCGGCCTGGGGTCGGGAGAGTCACTGGATGACCCTGGGCTCCAAAAAGAATGTCCCACGTCATTCCGCCTTCCACGTGCTCTCTCTCAGGCTGGCAGGAGCTGGCGGGCGCAAGAAAATCTTCCGACTGAGTGATGTGCTGAAGCCCCTGACCGATGCCCAGGTTGAGGCCATGAAGCTGGGCGCTGTGAAGCGGATCCTGCGAGCTGAGAAGGCCGTGGCCTGCAGCGGGGCGGCCCAGGTGTGCCCCTCTCCCCACCAGCCCGTCCTCCAGTCCCTCTTCCCCAGAGCCTACCTCACATCCCAGTGAAGAGACAGGTCCCGGGTCAGACCTCCCAGGCTCTGGCCTTGAATCGGCCACCTCCAAGCCTCCCTTCTGTCCTCCTCCATAAAGTGGAGACGACGGCACCCGCACAGGTGCCGAGGAGGAAGAAGTGCACTCACACGGGCTCTTACTCAGCACAGGCCTGGCCGCCCGGAGGGGCCGCACAAGCGAGGGCCACCGTTGTGTTCTTTCTTCTTCGTGGTTAACATCCACCACTTGCTGGCTTCATGACCTCGGTCAGGTGGCCTGTTTCCTCCCCCGCCCTTTTTTTTTTTAGTTTAATTAACCAAATAACGTATGAGCATGCTATTTCTTAAAAAATATTTCCCGGCCATAGAGGTACCATAAGTCTTCCTTGGCCCCCACCTGCATCCCACTCCCTCCCGAGAGGTGACCAGTGTACAAGTCAGGGGAGCCCTTCAGGATCTTGTTCTGTGTACTTAATTATTAGGGACTGTTCCTAGAAACTCATAGTTTTTCTCTGTGATGATTGATTTTTTTCTCCCTTTTCATCTTTTTTCACACAAACGAGGCCCACTGGGCGTAGGGTTCTTCAGCTTGCCTTTCTCCCTTAACGCTGGGTCTTCACCAGGGAGGCCCGAGCCTCAGCAGGAGGAACCGTACCGCACAGCTGTGGGGTGCTTGGGCTTGCCCATCCCCACGCCAGCGTACATGCTCACTCTCCCGCCAGGTGCGCGTCAAGATCCTGGCCAGCCTGGTGACACAGTTCGACTCGGGCCTGAAGGCCGAGGTCCTGTCCTTCATCCTGGAGGATGTGCGGGGCCGCCTGGACCTGGCCTTCGCCTGGCTCTACCAGGAGTACAGTGCCTACCTGGCAGCTGGTGTCTCAGGCGCCCTGGACAAGTATGAGGACTGCCTCATCCGCCTGCTCTCCGGCCTGCAGGAGAAGCCGGACCAGAAGGATGGGTGAGGGGACAGACCTGCATTTCCCCCGGCCCCAAGAGGACCCTCTCCTCTGTCCTGCCTGTCCTTTCTGGTTTCTGCCCACCTCCCCCTTCACCACCTAAGTCCCAGGCCCTCCCGTCTCCCTGCTCTCTGGAGGCATAGACGAGGTAGTTTCAGTGTGGGCTCTGGGTCTCTTGGGCTTGTGCTCAGCCGTGCCAGTTGCTCTCTCAGTGATCTGTGTGACTCACCCTCTGTTTTCTCAGCTACAGAGGAGAAACTCACCCTCTGTTTTCTCATGCATAAATGACAGTGCCTGCTTCACTCGGCTTGTTTTGGAAGTTGACTTCCCACCATCCCCATCTCTTACCTGAATCAGTCCCGTTAGCTTTCTCCTTGTTCTCAGCCTCCAGAGTATCTGTCCATTCTCCATACAGCAGCCTGGGTAACATTTTATAATGTAAATCCTGTCTTATTACTTCCCCGTTAAAAGCCTTTAATAGTTCTTCATCGCTTTTAGGGCAAAGTGCAGCCTCACTGTGTGCCCTGTGAACCCTTGTGGGCAGAAACCTCCTTCTGCCCCTCTGTCAGCTCTCATCCACCAGAGTCAACTCGAATGTTCTCGCAAAGCAGCCTTTTGTGGCCACCCATCTAAAATAGCAGTATCCTTCCCCACTCCTCATTGCTGTATTAAATGAGTAAAGTCAGGAATCCCCCTGTAACAAAGGGGAGAAACAGTTTCAGAGGTGGAGTCTGCCCAGCGGGCATGCTCCCCCAGCTGGCAGCATTTGAAGCCTGCTCTGTTCGCCTCCAGAGCCCCTTCCCCGGGGGCTGAGTGAGCTCTGTGAGCCAGGGCCTTGCCAGCTCCGAGCTGCTGTGGCCCAGCAGGATGGGGGCGTCGGGGGTCCACTCCTCTGTAGCCGGTCCCTGTCCTTCCTTCTATTGTAGGATATTCACCAAGGTTGTGCTGGAGGCGCCGCTGATCACCGAGAGCGCCCTAGAGGTGATTCGCAAGTACTGCGAGGATGAGGTGAGGAGGACTACGCCGGGGGACCGCCCTCTGTCCCTGGCGTCATGGCGCAGGCAGGAGCCCTCCTCTCCGCAGCCTGTGGCAGGGGGACAGGCCCCTGTGTTGTGGGGGGCGTCTGACGGGCACATAGCCTAGCCCTTGTGGCCAGGGCTTCTGTGAGGGACGGGGCCCTTCAGTCCAAGCAAGGTGGGGAGACATCCCACAGGCACCCAGCCAGCGGATTGAGCTCTGCTTCCCTCCCTCCTGCCACAGAGTCGCACCTACCTGGGCATGGCCACCCTCCGAGACCTGATCTTCAAGCGCCCGTCCCGCCAGTTCCAGTACCTGCATGTCTTGTTAGACCTCAGCTCCCACGAGAAAGACAAGGTGATCCCTGCCTCCCTGTGCTGGGCTGCACTCAGTCCTTCCTCCCTCCTGAGTAACCACCCAGCTTCTCCCACATCCCCTGAAAGTTTCTCTCCGGGCCTACCGCCGTCTTGCAACAGTTATTTGGTGTTTGATGTTTCTCTGTTTACAATGACAGGAGGCCGCTGAGTGTATGCACACAACGTACACTCACCCTCTCAGGAAGGGCAGTCCCACTCACTGTGACTCCCTCTGTGTTGGTGAGCCCCCCGTAAGGCCCAGTGCTGGGCTGGGACTTGTGGGGCCCCTGACAGGAGAGGAGCCGGTGTGACCCCTCAGAGCAGTGAGGAAAGAGCATGCCCAGGGGTGAGGCAGCGCTTGGGGCTGTCTCTGGTTGGGGGATGGAGAGGAGAGGCACCCTGAGCTGAGGCCTGAGACATGAGCAGAGGGGTATGCTCGGACAGAGGGAACAGCGCTCATGTGTGGGACCGAGAGGTCCCCTGGTCCACCCTACTGCAGCCTTACGCCAACACGTGTTCACACATTCAGGAGACGCGCACTGCGCACTCTGGCTCAGTCCTGGTGCTGCTAGGGACAGAGCAGTGCCCAAGGCCGGCCTCTGTCCTCATGGCTCCTGGCAGGGGTTGTCTTGAGTGAAATAGGTCATATAGCCAGTGTCAGGCATTCCGGGCAGTGGGAATCTTTGTGCCAAGTCTCAGAGCCAGGGAGGGTGCCATCACTTCTGAGGAACCGAGGAGAGCACATTCTGAATGGATTGTAGCAAACAAGGCAAGACAGAGTCAAGAGATGGAGCTAAACAGGGAGATAGTGAAGGCCGTGAATTCAGCCAGGAGACCTCTCCCAAGCCAGTGACCAGCCTTAGGCACAAGTAACCCAGCTGGGCCAGGCCCCTCTGCAGCGTGGGCTTGTTTCCTCACTGATGCGGCCCAGCTCGGAACAGTTTTCTGCCCCCACTAACCCCCTTGCTCCCACTCTCCTCAGGTGCGCTCCCAGGCCCTGCTGTTCATCAAGCGCATGTATGAGAAGGAGCAGCTGCGAGAGTATGTGGAGAAATTTGCCCTCAACTACTTGCAGCTCTTGGTCCACCCCAACCCCCCATCTGTGCTGTTTGGAGCCGACAAGGACACAGGTTTGGTGCAGGTTCCTCAGATGCAGGCTGAGTGCCTGCCGTGTCCTGGGCTCTGGGCTGGGACCCAGGACAGAGCTGGATTGAGGCTGAGCCCTGCCCCACTACTGGGAAAGACAGCCAGACAGTAATACCTGGAATGAGCAGGCCTAGGGGCTGCAGGAGCAGAGGGGGTGCCTGATGCAGCCGAAAGGGTCAGGGAGAACGGCCTGGAAGAGGGGGCTGTTAGGCCGAGAGCCAGGGGACAAGGAGAGCCAGCCAGTGATGGGGCTCCAAGAAGGGCCGGGCAGGATTATCACAGGCCCATTCCCTAGGGAAGCCCCGGGTCCCTGTGATGAGAGGTCTGGACACCTGGGCCCCAAGGGCTGGACCATTAGATTACAAGGTTCAGGCTATGGCAGGAGCACGCCGCCTTCGGGCAGCACAGGAGCCCTGTGTGGCCTGGATGCCAAGAGGGCATCCTGTGTGAGACCAGAGGACAAGAGGTACAGAAAGAGGAGCTGGGCAGCGGCGAAGCAGACTGAGCTGCAGTTCAGAGGCTCCCAAGTGGGGACCCCAGGGACTGAAGTAGGGTGTGCGCAGAGCACGTAGCCCTTGGGAGGGAGGGCAGGGGCAGGGCAGGGGCTGCCCCAACAGGGCCCCATAGGAGGAGCAGTGAGGTCCGGGGATCTATTCTGAGGGCACAGGGTAGTCCAGGGAGCACTGCACAAGAGAGGAAGATGGGGAGAGCTTGCATTTGGTTGGTGCAATGGTCAGACAGGCAGGAATTCAGTGCAGAGGCATCTGAAAGGGGAGCAGTCCTGGTCCCACCCCAGGTCCCTGGTGATTGGCTTCCCGGCTAGAAAAGTTTGCTTCCCAGGCCCGGCTCCCTTCTGTGCCCACCCCTCAAGAAGGAACAGACCCTGGGAAAGGGAGGCAGTTGGGAGGGGAGTTGGGGCCAGCCTGATTCCTGCCCCCTGCCCTACCAGAGGTGGCAGCGCCCTGGACCGAGGAGACGGTCAAGCAGTGTCTGTACCTCTACCTGGCCCTCCTGCCTCAGAACCACAAGCTGATCCATGAGCTGGCAGCTGTGTACACTGAGGCCATCGCTGACATCAAGCGGACAGTACTGAGGGTCATCGAACAGCCGGTGAGGCCGCCACGTCCCCAGCTCCGGCCCTTCCCCTGGTATCTCCGCCTGGGCATATGCTAAGCACTAAGGGATGTCACCCCAGGCTGAGTGGCTCTGTAGCCTGGGGCTGGTTCACAGGTCCGTCTGCCCATGAGACAGCAGCAGATGGCCCGCAGCTGCGGGCCGGGAGTTCACACTGCCTCTCGCTTTCTCCCTGTGCACACTTGCACACCCAACTTTAGTGAAGTTCAGTCCCCCAAGCTTACTGCAGGGATTCCCTGGACTCGGGCATGTAAACAGCTGTGTCACTGTTAGCGTTTATGAGCTGGCCTTGCTAGCAGGAATCTTGAGTTGTTGTTATGTAAGCCCCTCCTGCCCTCTTTCTGGAGCCACAAGGTCACCCACAGGAGAAGCGACTCAGCTGCAAATGAGCATCTGAAATTTGGAATGTCTGCCCTTCCGTTTTGCAGCTCGATTTGAAATCTTTTTTTATATCTCTGTCCCTGAAATGTTTTTATTATGGAAAATTTCCAACATAAACAAAGGAGAGAGCATAGAATGTTAACTCCCACAGTGTCCTTACCTGTAACATCTGGATAATAGGCTTGGTGTGAGGACAAAGCCCTCGAGGGCAAAGACTGGCAGTTCCACTCAGTTGTCAACGTGTGTTGGGCCCAGGAGGGCATGAACGTGAACCCTTGAAGCCTGACCCCCAGGTCAGGTGCTGCAGAAGCAGCAGATGAATCGTGGTCCGAGCTGGTAGCCACGCAGGGGCCCCAGCAGCACGGAGGGTGTGGGCAGAGGTCACGGGCCTTCAGAAGCCATCTCTGAGTGGAAGGGCAGTGTGGGCACTAAGGTCAGCATGGCCTGCCACGCAGGAGGCTGGTACTGCTGCAGGCTCGAGCTGCCGTAGGTCTGCGTGTGAGAGCCTGGGTAGGAGAACCAAGGGGCTCTGCCCCACCCCTCTCCCACCTTACCCAGGTCTCCCCCAGCTCACCAGTTGTTTTCTTTTTCTTCCCAGTGTTACTTATTCTATCCCGGTAATTGATGTATGACATTGTACTAGTTTAAGGTGTAAAACATGATGATTTGATATTTATATGTATTGGGAAGTGATCGCCACAGTAAGTTCAGTTACCATCCATCACTTTACATAGCTAGTTTTTTTTTCTAATTAAGAGAACTTCTGAGATCTAGTTAGTCTCTGTCACCATTTCTTACCCCAGAGTCCCAGCATCCCCCAGCCACGCTCCCCTGACACCTGGACCTCCCTGGGCTCTCCCCTTGAGCCCCCTTGGCCTCCACTTCGCCCAGGCCCTTCCCCAGCCTTCCCTATCATCCCTCTCTTTGCCCCGAGATCCGAGGAATGGGCATGAACTCACCAGAGCTGCTCCTGCTGGTGGAAAACTGTCCCAAGGGGGCAGAGACGCTGGTCACTCGATGTCTGCACAGCCTCACTGACAAAGGTGCCCGGGACCCCCACCCTTCATCTTTTCCTCCGTCACCCAGGCCTTCCCCACTCCTGCCCAGGACCTGGAGGTCAGAGCTGCTGGGTCCCCAGGTAGTTGGGCCTCTCGTAGGTCTCTCCCCATCCTTGGCCTCCGGTTCTCCATCTGGAACAGTGTGTTGCTAAATGCACTTGAGAAACCAAGGGCCAAGGACTCCTGCTCTGGAATGGAGTTGCCCCTGCCACACACCCACCACCATTTCTCCTTCCTGGGTGCCCACCCTCCCCACCTGGCCCCAACACCTGTGCCTCCTGTTTATTCTTCTGCCTGCAGTACCACCCTCCCCAGAGCTGGTGAAGCGGGTCCGGGATCTCTACCACAAGCGCCTGCCAGACGTCCGCTTCCTCATCCCTGTGCTCAATGGGCTGGAGAAGGTATGGAGCTGGGTGCCCAGATGCCCCCAGTGACAGGGCCTTGCCGGGGCAGGGGTGGGGGCGGGTGCAGGCAGGCACCAGGCACCCGTGTCAGACGCTCGTGAGCTCATTCCGGGGCTTGTCAGACCAGGGGTCCAGCTCAGCTCTGCCTATCTCCCTCTGTGACCTCAGGCAAGCCGCTCTCTTCTCTGAGCCTTGGTGTCCCTCTCTGTCAAGTGGGGATCACAGTGATAACCTCCCATCACCCCCAAACCCCCTCCCACTGACTGTCGCAAGGCCAAAACCAGACCGCAGAGGCAGCAGTGTTGCTGTGCGGGGAAGCACCTCCCCTCCAGCCCGAGCTCCCCTCTGCGCGGGTCTCACTCCTCAGGCTGTGGGACTTGATGAGCCGCCTGCTCCTGGTGTGGAAAGAGGGGATGATGATGTTCTCCGCTTGCCGGGGGCGTCAGCAGGCTGGCCCTGGGCCGCGTGATAAAGAGGGCCCAGTGGAGGGGGAGGGGGAGCGAGGGGGAAAGGAGCAGCCTGGGGAGGCTGGAGCTGCCCAGGAGCCGCTGGGTGGCCCGTCTGCACAGGGAAGGGCGCACCTGACCTGCCTCCCCTGCCCTCCCCCTGATAGAAAGAAGTGATCCAGGCCCTGCCAAAGCTCATCAAACTCAACCCCATCGTGGTGAAAGAGGTCTTCAACCGCCTGCTGGGCACCCAGCATGGTAGGCGATGTGCCCCTTCCCCACCCCAGGGCCAGCTCATTCCCTGCCCCTGGGCTCCTTGTGCCCCCGCTCCCCCAGGAGGCCTCACCTCAGGCGGTTGGGCGAGAGGAAGGTGTCCCCGAGCTGAGGAGCAGAGTGCCGACGGAGCCTGTTGTGCCTCCTTAAGGGAGAATGGGGTTCATCCTGCTCCCTGGGGCTGTCATCCTGACTTGGCCACGCCTGACCGTCTGTCCCTCCTGTGATGGCATCTAAAGCAGGGGACAAAATTGTGGAGCTGTGGTCTGACTCTGTAAGGGTCCACCCTTTGAGGACCTGACTACTGTGTGTCCCTTGGGCATATACTCGACTCCCACCCTTCCTCAGCTCTTGCCTGAACCCCTCAAGCCGTGGGTGAGGCGCATCTTGTTTGACATGGTCAAACAGAAAAAAGAAAAGTAAAAGCTGCAAAGTAGTTTGAATGGATTCCTCTCCCCTCTCCCCAGGGGCTGGAGCTAGGGAGGGGGTAGCAGCTGTCTGTCCCGCACATAACCTGGTGATCTAAAACACACATGTAAGTGTCACCAGCAGAGGGCCGTCTCCTGGGCTTCCTCCACGGCAGCACCGAGTGTGGGTCTGGCTCCAGCCTGTCCTGCCCAGCAAGTGATACACTGGGACCTGGCAGTGAGCTCGGCCTGGCCCTGCCCTCATGGGTGCCCAGGCCAGAGGGGAGGGAGGGAAACGGTGAACCACGTTCAGATGCTGCAGAGTACTCAGTGTTGGGAAGGAGGAGAGGGAGACAGAGGCCTTGGGTTGAAAGGGAAGGCCTCCTGGGGGCTGGGGGTGGTTAGCTTTCCAGCTGCTAAACCGTTTAGTCCCCCTTTTTGTGTTCTCAGTCTCTTTCTTCCCCTACTCCAGCCCTTTTGTCCCCCAGTCCCATCGAATCAGAGGATGCCTCATCTTTGACCACCACTCCAGTCTGGGGGCGCACCCACCTCTTCGCTCAGGCCTCTGTGCTGTTTCCTCCCTTGCCCTCCCCTCCCTCTACAGGAGAAGGGAACTCAGCCTTGTCCCCGCTGAACCCCGGAGAGCTGCTGATTGCACTGCACAACATCGACTCGGTGAAGTGTGACATGAAGTCCATCATCAAAGGTGAGGCGCTCCCCCTCCCCCTCGCGTGGCCTGGCCACTGTGGACAGAACCTCAGTTACCCGCGTGCCTGTGCTGGAATCTGCCAAGTCGGACATGGTGTCACCCGCAGCCCCATCTCAGAGCTCCAGGCTCGCTTTCCTGCCCTCATTCCTTTACCGCTCTCCCTCCTCCCTGCCTTCCTCCCTGTAAGGAACGGCTGGACCTACTGTGCCCTGGCCCAGAGTAGTCCTCAGGAAAGGTGGGGAGCCCCTCCTGCCCCAGCCCCTGCCCAGAGAATGAAGGATGCAGAGCCCACGGCTCAGCTGGGGCAGAGGCACAGCGGGCAGAGCAGGTGTGCACCAGGGCAGTTCCTGGACCAGGAGGAGATGCCAGGTCCCGTCTGGCTCCAGTTGAGGCAGGAAAATGTTGCCTCCAGGGCTGGGGGGTTGGTGACAAACTGGCTGGCTCACCGCAATGAGCAGCTCGTTTACCAAGCGCTGACCCTGAGACAGGCTCTCCTAAGGCCTCACAGGCCTGTCTGCCCGTCCAGACCACCTGCTGCCTGCGAGGATGCTGACTTCCTCTTGTGGATGAGAACATGGAGAGTCCAGAGAGGTTAAGTAGCTTGCTCAGGGCCACACAGAAGCTAAGTGGTGTAGTGGAAAGAACACCCTGAAGTCAGGTGGACCTGAGTGGAAAGCCCATTTCTGCCCGTGCACGGTGCCCCGGGTCTCAAGGCCGCCTCCCGCGGGAAGACCTCTCTCAGCTCTCCTCTGTGCTCCCCTCAATCCCTCCTTGAAGCAGGTTTCTGGCCCGAGAAGCCATCCTTTCCCACAGACGTGGAAACCCTTACTGTCACCCACCCTCCTCGGAAGTCAGCTGTCCCCCAACTCCTCCTCACTTCTGAGAAGAGCGGGGTGGCTCCTGTCCTTGCCCCTTAGTTTCATGTCCGGCCTGGAATAGCTTCTTCAGCGACTTATTTCCTGGCCTTCCTCTGCAAGTTCTCTGAGAAACTTTAAGGCCAAGAGAGGAGCTTGTGAAAATTTAAAACCCATACTACAGCTGAGGAGGAGCTGAGGTCGCTGGAGGAAGAGCAGCAAAGTGAAAACGGTCTCCACGCTTAGAGAGGCCAGGAGTGCTTTTTATGTGGGCCTGTTAAGGTGGGCTCTTCGGGGATCTCAGGAAAAACGGGCCCGTTCCCAAGGATGGAATGCTCACAGTTTTATGTACAGTTTGCAGGGATTCACAGAAACCTCACTGCCCGCTCAGCCCTTTAATGGGCCCAGAGTCTCTGATCTTACACAGGGAAGCGAAGGCCCAGACAGGACAAGGGCCTTGCTGCAGGGCACACAGGAGCCGGCAGCCAGGCCCCTAGATCTGTTGTTAAGGCCTGGCCTTTAGAACCCCACTTGTTTCTTCCTACGAGCCCAGACCCGCACACAGCCTCGCCTCCTGCTGAGCTCCCAGCAGCCCTCCAGCTGGTCTCCTGCACCCTGTTCCTCCCCAGCACCCGATCCAGCCAGCTCCCAGAGCACGTTTCTCTGCCCAGGCACCAGTGGTTTGCCTGGTTCCACTAGTAACCCCACTCCAGTTCCAAAGTTCAGTCTGTTCTGTGCACCATTGAAATCCCCAGTGCCTGATAGTATAACCAGTCAGTCATTCCTAGCATTTACAACCCCCTTAAACCACCCTTTCTTTGGCGAGTTCTTTTATAACGACCTGCCCGCAATGATCTGGTCCAGTAATTAACAAAACTCTCTGAGCACCTCTGCTTAGCCCCGTGTTGGGCAGGGCGGGGACAGCAGGGATGGAAACAGCTCTGGCCCTGTCCCCCTGGGGCTCCCAGTCCATGTCTAGATAGTAACAACCCAGAGTGAGCAAGGTTGGGACAGGGGACTCCAGAGGGGCCACCTGACCCTCTTCGGTGTGGGACATCAGGGAGGGCTTCGTGGAGGGAGGGACACCTGAGCTGAAACCACAGAAGGGTGAGGTAGCAGGAAAGAGGATGATGCCAGAGAAAGGAAGAATGTTTGCAGAGGCCAAGAGATGCACCAGCACGACCCGGTTCTGGAACTGCAGAGCCGAAGCTGGCTGTCTTACTTGGGCAAAGGGACCTGGCCGGGAGGTGATGTCAGGCTGTAACCACTGAGAAAACCATGCCTGAGCCCCACCCACAGTAGGGTCTCCTAGGCCACAGTGGGAGTTTGGACTTGATCTCTTGAGGGCCTCAGGGGGGTATGAGGTCAGGTTGACTTTTGAGAGACCCTTTCGGCTGCTATATGGAAGGTGGGTTAGAGGGATGGGAGGGAGACCCAGAGGAGGCTGGGGCAGAGTTCGGGGAGGAAAGGAGAAGGGGCTGGTTCTGGAGGCTTTTGGGCAGAGCAGGCAGGAGCCAGCGATTACCTGGAAAGGAGGGGGAGGACCTTAGTTTCTGGCAGGGCCTCTCTGGCAGTTTCCTCACCTTCTATACTTTTTTCCTCTGCCCCTTTGGCCTAAGTACACACCCACCCTGTCCCACCTCCAGCTTCCCTGCCTGTCTACCTGTAATCCCCTATCCTCCCCCATTTCCTTATAGTAGCACCCCCATTCCTTACAGGCACTCACCCTATATGTTCTCAAGGATTGGGGGCCTCTCTTTTGGCTCAATAAAGACTTCCTGGTTGACAGACTCACCTGGCAAGTGGTGTTTGGGGAAAAAGGGGTTCAGAGGCAGTTCTTGGGGTCTTCCTGTTAGTACAATGGGTCAGAGCACCGCCGATCCCACTGGTTTCAGGATACTGCAGCCCACTCCCCGGGGCCCAGACCTGCCCTGGCCTGCCTACCTGCGTCGTGCAGGCCTCCCTGGGCTCCTCCTGGCACTGGTTGCTGAACGGGGGGAGCTCACCTTATGCTCAGGCTTACTCCTCTCTCCCCCGCCTCCCTTACTGCTCTGTGGACTCTCCCCCCCACATCACTCCAGGCCTGATAACGCCCCCAGCACCTGCACAAGCCCCTATGTCGCAGTCAGGACTGGGAGTGGGCAGTCCCTTGGCCAAGCTGCTGGTGGAGGGCCCTCTCTCCTGGCCCTGTGTGGGGTGTAGAGAAGTCAGAGCTGCCTGGAGATGGGGTGGAGAAGCCATGCTGCCCCAGTCAAGCCAGGGTCCCCGTGGGTTGACAATGTATCTTCCGCACCTCAGCCTTTCTGAGGATTGTCCCCAAAGAGACAGGGCCAAGGCCTGCCCACTCAGCCAGAGCTGGACACATCTTTTCTCTTAGACTACACCCTCAGCCTTTCCAAGGACCAAGCCACAGGTCACCTCAGAAAAAGACCTGCTGGGTGGGGACCTCTGTGTCTTGCCCGGAGCTCCAGAAGCCAGGGCTAGGTCTCCCATCACACGGACAGATAACGGGGCTGAGGCTCTTTAAGGGTGGTGGGGCGCCCATGTCCCAGTGGGGCAGCTGGGCAGAGAGGACAGGCCCACTCTCCGCCTCCTCGCAGCCACCAACCTGTGCTTTGCGGAGCGGAACGTGTACACATCCGAGGTGCTGGCCGTGGTGATGCAGCAGCTGATGGAGCAGAGCCCCCTGCCCATGCTGCTCATGAGGACCGTCATCCAGTCCCTGACCATGTACCCCCGCCTGGGGGGCTTCGTCATGAACATCCTGTCCCGCCTCATCATGAAGCAGGTAACCTGGCCCTGGCCACCCTGTCCCCCAGGCAGGGGACTGCAGCAGGACACACGAAAGGTGGATCTGAGGCAGAACCCTAGACTTTTCCAGCCTGCTTGCCTCCGACCCCCCTTAGGGAGCCCGGATGAGGAGAGCAAACTGCTGAGACCAGCCAGCCCCTATGTGCCCTCGGTCCAGGAGGCAGACCAGGGGTCACCAGTCAGACAGCTAGAGGCTGGCAACGTGATGAGCAAGGGCGGGTGGGTGGGAGGAGCAGGCAGCAGACTTCAGGGGGTGCGCATCTCAGGAGAGGCACAGCTGCCCTTTGCCTCCCACCACGAAAGCCAGGATGCAAACTAGAGCTGAAAGTTCCGTTTTTTCAAGAGAAGCTCGAAGTCTTGAGTTTTTAGAAGTACTAGGATGAAACAGAAAATAAACCCCATCTGAAGACTGGGTTCAGTCCACAGGCCGCCACTTTGCAACATCTGGCTTAGAGGTTAAATGCAGATTCAGACAGACATGGGTTCAAATAAATCTCTTCTGCCGTGGTACACGTGTGACCCTGCACAAGTGCCAGTACCTCCTTGGGCCTCGTCTGTTGAGCAGTTAATGTCGCCCTCTTGAGGCTGCCATGAGAATGAATTGAGACCCCTCTCAAAGCCCTTGGCCTGGGCTTGACCCAGGGGCGCAGCTTGAGGGGGGCCCTCTCAGTTTAACTCCCCTTCTCCCAAGCTGCCCTCATGTCTCAGCTGCGCAGGATCAGGAAGAGAAAGTCAGAACGTGCTCTGGAGGGAGGTCAGGACTGTTTTTCTTAGTTTTTTTTTTTGTGTTTTTGGTTTTTGTTCTTTTTTTGTTCCTCTTTTTTTTTTTTTTTTTTTCCTTTTTTTTTGTGGGGGGTGGGCTGCCTGTGTGTTCCCTCAGAACTGCTCCCTCCCTGCCCTGTACAGGTGTGGAAGTATCCCAAGGTGTGGGAGGGCTTCATCAAGTGCTGTCAACGCACCAAGCCCCAGAGCTTCCAAGTCATCCTGCAGCTGCCACCCCAGCAGCTGGGTGCTGTCTTTGACAAGTGCCCAGAGCTCCGGGAGCCCCTGCTGGCCCATGTCCGCTCCTTCACCCCCCACCAGGTACCCCAAGGTGGGGTCGGGTGGGTGGCCCATGCATCTAGCCCTGGGGGACTGGAGGAGGATGGGCAGAGGGGAGCCCTGCCCTGCCACCAGTCAGGGACTCTGGAGGGTCAGGGATCAGGGGTGTCCCCAGAGGACCTCTGAGTCAGAGCTGTCCAGAGCACCCCATCCTGCTCTTCCCCTAGCAAGCACACATTCCCAACTCCATCATGACCATCCTGGAGGCCACCGGCAAGCAGGAGGCGGAGGCCAAGGAAGTAGCTGCAGGGCCCCTGGAAGAGGTGAGGGCCTGCAGCTCCCCCACCCAGGGCAGCAAGACCCTGCCCTGCAGGGCTTTTCTCCCAAAGCCGGTCACCTGTCTCTGTGGGGAAGCTCCTCCTGAAGGGGTGGGAGGGAGGGCTGGGGACATGTGCTCTTACTTCCAGTGCCCACCCTGTAGTCACCAGGGTCGTGTCTCTCTTCTCTCCCATCATCCTCTGAGAGCAGCAGTGTTCTAGCCCCTTACCTACCTCTGAGCTTCTGTGTGCCCCTCCCCATCCCCAGGACGACCTGGAGCCCCTGGCCCTGGCACCAGCCCCAGCCCCCCGACCCCCTCAGGACCTCATTGGCCTCCGGCTGGCCCAGGAGAAGGCCTTAAAGCGGCAGCTGGAGGAGGAACAGAAGCTGAAGCCTGGGGGAGTGGGGGCCCCCTCGTCCTCCTCCTCCTCTTCCCTGGCCCGGCCAGGCCCTCCCCAGCCGGAGGAAGCCATAGATTTCCGAGAGGAGGGGCCCGAGTGTGAGACCCCAGCCATCTTCATCAGCATGGATGACGACTCGGGGCTGACCGAGGCTGCACTGCTGGACTCTAGTCTTGAGGGGCCCCTACCTAAGGTAGGGATGACAACCTCAGAATAGCAAAGGAAGAAAGGCAGGACCCCAGGGTGAAGCGTGTGGGCGGGGTGACGAAGGTGGGGGTTCCCGGAGGGATGGCCTGAAGGAAAGCTTGGAGATGGGACTACGCTCTGTGACCGGCTCCCCCTTCTGTCACCAGGAGGCAGCAGTGGGCGGGCTGACCTCAAAGGAGGAGCGGAGCCCCCAGCCCTTCACCCCTGCAGAAGACACCATGAAGATCCCCAGCCCCGCCACAGAGGAAGCCGGGGAACCTGAGACCAAGGGGAACACCTGACGGGGCTTGATGGGGAGTGGGGTGGGATGGGGAGCCCGGGAAGGGTGGGGTGGGCAGGGTTTTGCGTTTAAGAAAAATTAAAAGATCGCGGGCCTGGGATCTCGGTGCCGTCTCTCTTCGCCTCCGAGCCCGCAGAGGGACTGCGCGGTACCCGAAGGGGCGCGCCCGGGACCCGGAGGGAAGGCTGGAAGCGTGCGGGGCCTGGGGCTGCGCCTGCGCGGAGACCAACTCCCTGGCCCCGACGTCCGGCGCGCCGCCCCCACCCCAACCAACGGCCTCCCCCTCCCTCCTTGGAAACCGGCGCAGCTGGCGTGGAGGCTGCAGGGTGTGTGCTGGCAGGCGACCCGTGTGGCCTGCCTGCCTGTCTGCAAGCCTTCCTCCCAGAAGTCTGCGACCCCTTTTAAACTATGGGAGACTCACCACCGGACCCTGAGCCCCCTACTCAGCAGTCTTCTAGCAGGAGGAGCTCCCAGGTCCTCCAGCCGCGCGGTCAGCATTACAGTCAGGCTGGGCCCATGGACCCCGGCAAGGTGCAGCACATACCACCCCACGCCCAGCCCTGGCGGAGCAGTCTCCAGGACTGGTCACAGGGGGCCAGCCCGAGCCGACGTGAGAGCCTAACGATGTTCCAGGCCCAGGAAGCCCAGCCCGGTGGCGTAAAGTACCCTCCCCAGAATGTGGTCTTTACCTCAGATGGCCAGCCCCGACATTACCTGGACGAGGACAGGATCCAGGCCTCCCGCCACGCCAGCCTAGTGCTGCAGCAGCTGCAGCAGGGCCGCAGCAGTCTCCTTCAGCAACTGGAGCCTGCCTACCAGGAGCCCCAGTCCGACCTCTTGGGCCAGTTCAACATGTATCAGAGAGAAGACCCGCAGTTCAGCCAGGGTGCCCAGCATGGGCCCTACATGAGAGATGACCCAGCCCTCCAGTTCACACCCTCGGAGCCGCGCTTCATGCCCTTCAGTATGGAGGTGCTGGGGCCTGAGCCTCAGGAGCTGGCCATACAGAATGCCAAGGCCTACCTGCTGCAGACGAGCGTCAACTGCGACCTCAGCCTGTGAGAGGGGGCCCATAGTGGGGAGGGGGCAGAACTCAGACAGGGAAGGCCCTGCTCAGGTTCTGGGAATGCCTCTCACGGAGAGCCTTCGACTGCTCTGGGGCATCTAACTCTAACTCGGCGTAGGAGTTAGAATAAATACCAACAAATAGCACAGTCACTTACCAGACAGGTGTGCCAGTACTTGACATCTAGTGGTCACAGCTGAGATGTTGCATATCTACTGTCCCTGTTTTACAGAGAAGGAAATTGTCGCAGAGAAATTAGGTTCCATGCCCAAGATAACACCTAGCATGTGGCAGATCCAGAATCCCAGGGCAAGTTATTTGGATCCTGAGGCCCTGTTATCCACTTAACTTTCCTGCCAGACTAAGGCACTTGCCAAGGCCACTTAGCTCTAGTCATTACACACCTTTGGCAGCCCCATTACCTCCTTGTGAAGCTCACACTCTAGTGAGCATGGACTATACATGTTATAAATGATAAGGTGAGAAAGAAGGCAGGGTGAGGGGAAAAGGGAGTGAGGTCAGGGAAGGCCTGTCTGAGGAGATGACATTTGATTAGGAACCCGAAGCAGGTAAGGGAGATCACCTTGCAGGTAAATGGAGGGCGAGTGTCCAGGTATGAGACACAGCAAGTTTAAATGCTTGAAGGCTTGCTGTGTTTGAGGAACAGCAAGGAAGCTGGTGTGACTGGAACCAGGAGGAAGAGGGGGTGTAGGGGCAAATGAGGTTGGAGAAGTAACAGGTCTTTTTTTTTTAAATTTTTTAAATTATGGTATTATTGATAGACACTCTTATGAAGGTTTCACACGAAAGAACAATGTGGTTACTATGTTCACCCATATTATCAAGTCCCACCCATACCCCACTGCAGTCACTGTCCATCAGTGTAATAAGATGCCACAGAGTCACTGTTTGCCTTCTCTGTGCTACACAGTTTTCCCCGTGATCCCCCACACCATGTGTACTGAACATAATACCCCTCAATCCCCTTCTCCTTCCCTCCCCACCCACCTTCCCCCCCACACCCCTCCCCTTTGGTAACCACTAGTTCCTTCTTGGAGTCTGTGGGTCTACTGCTATTTTGTTCCTTCAATTTTGCTTCGTTGTTATACTCCACAAATGAGGGAAATCATTTGGCACTTGTCTTTCTCCACCTGGCTTTTTTCACTGAGCATAATGTCCTCCAGCTCCATCCATGTTACAAATGGTAGGATTTGTTTCTTTCTTATGGCTGAATAGTAGTCAATTGTGTATATGTACCACCTCTTCTTTATCCATTCATCTACTGATGGACACTTAGGTTGCTTTCATATCTTGGCTATTGTAAAAAGTGCTGCGATAAACATTGGGGTGCATGGGATTTCGGGGTCAAATAGTATTTCTATTTTTAGTTTTTTGAGGAACCTCCATACTGCTTTCCACAGTGGTTGAATTAGCTTACATTCCCACCAGCAGTGTAGGAGGGTTCCCCTTTCTCCACATCCTCACCAGCATTTGTTGTTCTTAGTCTTTTCAATGCTGGCCATCCTGACAGGCGTGAGGTGATAGTTCATTGTGGTTTTAATTTGCATTTCCCTGATGATTAGTGACATGGAGCATCTTTTCATGTGTCTGTTGGCCATCTGAATTTCTTCTTTGGAGAACTGTCTCTTCGTATCCTCTGCCCATTTGGAGAAGTAACAGGTCTTGCTAGAGCACAAAGTTGACCCCATTCTTCCCATGCTCAGAGCCTGCCATGGCTCCCCAGTGCCCCAAGAAAGAAGTTCCATGTTCCTCACAACAGCCTTCAAATCCCTTATAGGTCATTCCCTGCCCACTCTCCAAGCTTTATCTCTAGTCAGTGCCTACCTCAGAGTCTAGAGTCCAGTCAAAATTAACTTCTAACTCTCCCCAACAAGTCCAAGCCCTCAGGAGCTTCAGGGTCCCTTACTGAAAAGCCCTAGTCAAAGACTGACTTCTTACCTTTGCAATTCAATGAGGGCCCTTCACCACACCCAAGACTACTGCCCAAGGGTTTCCACTCTGCAGAAGGTTGGACACATGTGCTTTGAAGTCAGACCAACCTGGTTGCAAATCCTGGCTATGCTACCACTGTGTAACTTAACAACCTCAACTTTTCTAAGGCCCCGTTTGCTCATGGGGAGAGTGGGGATTATAATTGTTCCTCAGATGAATGATTGTAGTGAGAATTAAACATTGCTGGCAAGTACCCAGTGTAGCACCTGGCTCAGGTGGAAGAAAGCCATCAGTGTTATCCCTCTGGCCTCCTCTCCTCCCATAATCCCCCTCTTTCCCTCCACTCCAGCCAAGTTCATGTTCCCCCAACATGCTAGGCACACCCTCAGCTCAAGGCCTTTGCATGTCACTTGCAGTGATATCACCTGCAAACCATTTTGCTTCTTCCTTTCCAGTCCTACCTTTCCTTTCTTTGTCATGTCAGATTGCATGGGCTGGGACCTCCAGTGAAGTGTGAAACAGAAGTTGTGAAAGCAGCCATCCTCATTCCCAATCTCATAAGGGAAAAGACTTGGTCTTTTACCGTCGGTGTTTGGTGTGTGCTATCGTTACTTGTGGCTACCCTTCATAAAATTGTTAAAAAGTACCTTCTATTCCAAATTTGCTAGGTTTTTAAAAATCATGAATGAGTGTTTACTGTTATCAAACAATTTCTCTGCACCTCTTGTCATCTTACATAGGTCCATTAATATATTAACATGATAAATTATATTTTTTCTATTTTTCTAATAGAAGAAAATCCACTCTTGCATTCCTTTTATTAGCCCAATTTAATCATGGTGTGCATCCTTATGAGAAATTGCTGTATGTCATTTGCTAATATTTTGCTTAGAATTTCAGTAGCTATATTTCTAAATAAGACCAGCATGGAGTTTTCCTTTCTCCTAGTTTTCTTGAGCTTTGGTATCAAGATTACTTTAGTCTCATAAAATGTCTCAGGGTCTGTGCACCTGCTGTTCCGTCTGACTAAAGCACCCTTTCCCCAGTATCAGCCTGATCCTTCATTCAGATCTCCACTTAAATATCATCTTGGTGACGGCTTCCCTGGCCTCCCTTTAAAATGACAAACCATCTCCTATCCTTGGCATTCCCAGTCCCCTATTCCTGCTTTATTTGTCTCCAGAGATATTACCACCCCTGACACGATTTATTTTACATATTTAGTTAATGTCTGTCCCCACCATCAGAATGTCAAAAAAGAGACCTTTTCTCTACACCATGTCAGCGCCCCACACAGGGCCAGGCACAAAGCAGTGCGCTCAGTGAGCTGAGCGGGTGCTGTACCCCACCCCTCACTCCCTCCGGGAGGCAGGTATGAACACCTGGTGAACCTGCTGACCAAGATCCTGAACCAGCGTCCCGAGGACCCCTTGTCCATCCTGGAGTCGCTGAACCGAACCACGCAGTGGGAGTGGTTCCACCCCAAGCTGGACACGCTGCGGGATGACCCCGAGCTGCAGGTGACCTATGAGATGGCTGAGAAGCAGAAGGCGCTGTTCGTCCGGAGTGGCAGTGTCGAGGAAGAACAGGAGATGGAGGAGGAGGTGGTGAGTGGGGCGGGGGGAGTAGCGCGCAGCGGGACCCGCAGTGGCCCAGGCCTGGAGGTGAGGGAGCGCACGGCACCCCGAGAAAACACAAATGATTTCGATCTAGGGTGTGTGCCTTGCGGTCGGGGCCAGGACCAGGTCACAGAGGGCCTTGAACGCTAGGCTGAGGAGCCTGTGCTTGCTGCTGAGGCCGCTGGGGCGCCGTGGAAAGGCTTGAAGGAGAGGAAGGGCTGCTTAGCTCGGCGTTTTAGGAAGCTGACTCCAGCGTCAGCATGGGGTGGAGGCTGGCCTTTCTTACCAAACCTTACTCCTCCCTCCCCAAAGTAACTGCTTTGCAGACGTTCCCTGTGAAACCCCCTGGAGTCCCTCAACACGGGACTGCCCGCTATCCCTTGGGTTCACTTTCCCCTTTTGAAAGTCGAGAGCCGCTGATAACTCTTCTACCCGTGACTCATTAACATTCTGATATCCTCAGAATATTTAATTCCACGATTCTGCTTCCAGAATTGGATAACTGCTTAAAATTCAGGTGAGGTATTCTTTTCCTCTTTCAAGGAAAATTTGTTAAAGACTCTGTTTTTTATCATTCTGACACCTCCCAGGCCCCCTGCTAAGAACTTTAGGACAACGCCCCTTGTTTCATCCCTGAAACAAGGCAAGTGCTGTTACTCCCATCTGTGGAGGACCCGAGGCTAGGAAGTGCCGAGACCGGACTAGGAAGGCGGGACCTGACCTCGGAGCGCGTGCCGCCTTCCGCCCTCTCTGCAGGTGGAGCTGCTCTGTGCTCCTCCTACGCCTGAGATTCTAGGATTCGGGCCACGGTCGGGGGGACGCTGAGAGAAAGCTGGGACGGTGACCTGACAAAGGATGGGGCCGTTGCCTGGGCAGAGCGCAGACTGGGACCCAAGTCTTAGGGAGGAATAAGAGTTTTACCTGAGAATATGGTTTTGAATTTCAGATCAACATTCTCTCCTTGGGAGGCCCCACCCCCTCAAATTGCACCCTTCCTCTCCACCGCCCCCTCCAAGTCGCATCCCCATCTGACTGGTCCTTGGAGGCTCCGCCCCCTTAGAGTTCCGGGACTCCTGAGGCTCCGCCCCATTGAAATTTGCACAGGAGGCTGCATCTCTTTCCAGGACCTTGTCCCTGGAGGCCCCACCCCCTTAGAACTTGCAGCTGGAGTCCTTAGGGTGAGGCCTTGTTGAAGATCAATATTGTGGGCATTCGTGGCCTGTGTGTGTTTCTGGGAAGAGATTCAGCGAGATCGGTGATTCAGCATTTTGTACTTATTTTTCTGTCTGATGGGAGGTAGAGCTCTCATTTCTCTCATTTTCTATTGCTTCCAAATGGCTAGCCATGATCCCAATACGCATGGAATAATCCATTCTTCCTGCTTTGGAATGCCGCCTCTACCATTTATTAACGCCTGTCTGGACTGTCTGTTTCTGGATTCCCTGTGCCTTTGCCCTGTTTGTTTCTTTCTGCTCTCGGACTCTCCGGCTTGCTGTGTACGCCCTGCAGCAGGTTTGGTTATTTGCTAGTACAAGGCTCCCCGTCACTGTGCCTCTGCTTTGAAAAGTTCCTGACTATTCTTGCACGTATAATTTTAGACTGACTTTAGAATTATTCTGTCACATTCCAAAAAGTAACACTTAACTGTACTTGTGTGACAACACAGGTCACTTTAAAGCAGGAACTAGATGATGTCACAGAAATGGAGGCGAGTGGCTTACACAGGATCAAAGATTCTCTCACACCTGATAGTCAGGTACAAGCAGTCTAGGGCTGGCAAGGTGTTTCCCCAGGGCGGGGACACTGAGGGCTGCCTTCTCTCGTCACCTCCAAACCTCCTCCTGTCTGTAAACCAAGAGGGCAGTTCACGTCAACATAGAAGCCTTGGAATAAACCCCATCTCTGGCCAGTGCAGTCAGTAAGGCTTGAGTTTTGCTGCAAGTGTTTGATTAAAATGGCCTAAGCAATTCAGTAAAGTATTTAATTACTTCACATCACCCAGAGTGGGCGGAGTTGGGGTGGCCTCTCTGTGACGTCATGAAGAATGCCGACTCTTTCCTCCCCTCCATGTTGCCGCCTTCATCAGACTTTCAAGCATATCCATGTTTGGTCCTTGAGCTCATCACTTTATGTTAAAAAATGGCTGCTGCAGCCGCACACGTACCCACACACCAGTGCCCCAAAAAGGGAGGGAAAGAGCTTTCCCCTGTGTGTCTCCTTTTTTTTTCTTTCTTTAAATCTGGGGAGCAAAAGTTTCCCAGAAGCTGCCTAGAAAATCTCTGCTTCCATCCTATTGGCCAGATTGGATCACATGACCATCCCTGACTGCCAGGGAGGCTGCGAAAGTGACCACAGAGCTTGTCCAGTCCGCGGAAGGCAAGCGATGGAGAAGAAGGTCCGGAATGGTGCTGGCTCAGCATGCTGACAGTGACCACCTCCTTCCAACCCAAGGGCAGGGATGTGGCGGGGCCCAGGCTCAGCTGGTATGCAGGGATCCCAGTGCCCATATTTGACCTCTGCTCCTCTCTCTTCCCCACCCCCTCCCCCTGGCAGTATACAGCAACCCACAGCTCCTGAATTTACTTTTTAAATATCCCATCCAGTTGCCACTAGGAAATCTTTTTTCCCATATCATATGTAGGGTATGACTGGGAACTGGGAGGAAAAAAGAAAGATTTTGGCCACAGGGAGGAGTTATAAAGGAGGGGCTAGAATGTGGCCTCTGGAGCCAGACTAACCTAGGTTCAAACCCAGCCATACCAAAGAGGTCATGTCTAGGCAGGGGGGATGCCAGCTGTACTTTCTCTCCACCCAGGCACAAATTGCAGAGGGAGAGAAAACAGTCTGATCTCTCATCTTGGGGCAGTTGGCCACTCTTGCTCTAGTCAGCAGTGGACAGAAAGACAGGATGATACAATTTAAACATGGAGGAGGTCACTCCACTGCCATGTGGACGGGTGGGAGGGGTATCCAGAAAGAGGGTGATGGCCTTTGCTTCATGGGCCAGGCATCCACTTCCAAGAGTTTCCTACACTCACTCCCCTACCTTCCCTCCTGGCAGCAAGGTGAGTCTTGGGGCTAAGTTTTGACTTTACCCCTTGAGTTGCCAGGCTAAACATCAGTTAGGCAAACAAGCAAGTGCACTGTGTTTAAGATCAAGGGAAACCGCCAGGATTACTTGCAAAATAACCACTCTCCAGCTATAGAGTATGAGGGTGTGCCGCATCAAGCTGAGATAACAGACAGCCCAACAGTCTCTCTGGTTTAAAATGGCAGTTTACTTCTCACCCACACTACCAGCCCATCCAGGCCGGGAAGATGGCTTTGCTCATCGGCCACCTGAGAACCCAGGGGGTCGGAGGCCCCACTGTGACACAGGCTTCCATGGCTCCAGAGGATGAAAAAGAGGGCATAGCAGACCACACAGGGGCTCTTACAGCTTCTGCTTGGAGGTGACATGTGTCCCTTTCGCTGCCGTTTCAGGTGGTCGGAGCACAGAGAGGGCAGGGGTGGGAATGTAGACCCCCTGGAGTGGGACGAAACATTTTGGAACAACAGTCGAGTCTAGCAGGAAGAGGAAAAAGATGCAAAAAATTGTTCATTTTAACAGTGTTCACAAATGGACCTTTTAAAAAAGGGGAATGTAGTACCTTTAGGAAAAACCTTGGTATACTTGTCATCAAATCTTTTACATCAGCTGGTACAATTTAAGCATCACTGTTCATTTTCACACTAACTGTCTATTACAGGTTGAATTGTGTATCTCCACCCCTCCACCCCAGATTTACATGTTGAAGTCCTAAGCCCTCCCCCCAGTACCTCAGAATACGACCTGTTTGGAAGTAGGGTCATTGTGGGTGTAATTAGTTAAGAGGAGGTCACACTGGAGCAGGGTGGGCCCCTAGTCTAAGACGACTCGTGTTCTTATAAAAGGTTAAGTCTGGGCACACGCACACAGGGAGAACGCCATGTAGACGGGAAGGCAGCAATTGGGACCTGCTGCTACGAGCCGAGGCCAGTGGTGGCTGGCAGAATACCCGAAGCAGGGCGAGGGGCTGGGACAGATTCTTCCCGCATCAGAAGGAAACAGCGCTGCGGACACCTTGCTCACAACTTCTGGCCTGCGGACCTGGGAGACAATCAACTTCTGTTGATTCAGTTTGTGGCGCTTTGTTAACATGCCCCAACAAAGTACTACACTACCTTTTCAGAATTTACGAACTCTTTGAATAGTATTTCAGTACATATGAAACAAGAGACAAATAGTCTTTTAGTGCACCAAACAGAAGTTAGCAGTTATCTCCAGAATTCTCATCTTCTTCAAGAAGAATGGCCAATGACTCAGATGGCCATATAAAGGAGCTGGAAATGTGTTAACTTGGAACTTTTTACTGCCCTGACTTCCAGTTGTGTGGTGGTGATCACTGTACCTTCCAGAAGCCGTGCACAGTTTCCCAATGAGAAGCTCATGTCTTTGATCCAATTCCCCCCCTCACCAGCCCCAACAGAAGTGAGGCTTCTGCTGTTGTTATTATGATGTTGTTGTCTTTGATCACATGCAAGCCTTTTCCCCTTGGACAGTTACCAGGGATGAACAGGTGTCTGAGTCAAGACTATTTGGTTTCCAGTAACACACACCTAGAGCTTGCTGAAATGAAGTGGAGGGAGGGATGGAATTTACCAGAAAGATGCAAGGCACTCCCCAGAATTGTGGCACTTAGATGGACCTCAGGAATAGCTGGACCCAAGATGACCAACATCTGCCCCTGCTCTGATCCTTCTCTCTGCAAACTGGCCTCCATTGTCCACCCACACACAGAGAATCATCCACTGTGTGGCTGCCGCATTTACACGTTTCACTTTCAGCCGCATGCAGAAATTGGACCCGTATTAGTTTCCTATGGCTGCTGTAACAAATTACCACAAACTTAATGGCTTAAGACAGCATAATGATTTTTTTTGTTTTGTTTTTCCATCCATCTTTGCTGGATTTTCAACTATTTCAAATGCTCACTAATAATTGCCTTTTTTGCCTTTCTTGTTTTGTTTTTTTTAAATTTTTTATTAAGGTATTACTGATAGACACTCTTATGAAGGTTTCACATGAAAAAACGTGGTTACTACATTTACCCATATTATCAAGTCCCCCCTACACCCCATTGCCGTCACTGTCCATCAGTGCAGCAAGATGCCACAGATTCACTATTTGCCTTCTCTGTGCTACACAGTTTTCCCCGTGACCCCCCACACCAAGTGTATTAAACATAATACCCCTCAGTCCCCTTCTCCCTCCCTCCCACACCCCTCCCCTTTGGTAACCACTAGTCCCTTCTTGGAGTCTGTGAGTCTGCTGCTGTTTTGTTCCTTCAGTTTTGCTTCATTGTTATACTCCACAAATGAGGGAAATCATTTGGCACTTGTCTTTCTCTGCCTGGCTTATTTCACTGAGCATAACACCCTCTAGCTCCATCCACGTTGTTGCAAATGGTAGGATTTGTTTTCTTCTTATGGCTGAATAATATTCCGCTGTGTATATGTACCACCTCTTCTTTATCCACTCATCTACTGATGGACACTTTTCCAGTATCTGGAGGCTGCTCATGTTCTTCCTCCTGGCACCTTCCACCACCATCAAAGCCAGCGTGTAGCCTCTTCAAAGCTCTTTTTGATTTCAGCTCCTGTCATTACATCTTCTCTAACTTTCCTGCCTTCCTCTTCCACTTATCTACACCCTGTGATTACAATGGGCCCACCCACATCATCCAGGATAATCTCCCCATCAAAAGAGCCTTAATTTATCACACCTCCAGGTCCCTCTTGTCATATATGATAACATGTTCACAGGTCCGGAGACTGCGACCTGGTCATTTTTTGGAGGGATGGTTCTGCCTACCATACCCCACCCCATTCTGATTTCAGATTCTGGCAAGAGAGCATGTGGTCTCCCTGCGTGGGGACATTGTTTTCCCAGACCTGCCAGGTTGGCCAAGGGCAGCTCATGCTGATCTCATGAAGAAGGCCCTCGTCTGTTTTGTCCTCTGATACATCGTATCAGAACGGCCTTCCCTCGTTCAGGGCTGATCCTCAGGGGACCCTTCATAAAGATTTCTAGACTGACTGAATGAAAGTGTTGGGGACAGCCTGGTGGCCCTGTGGATGTTGGAGTGGCCGACCCAAAGCCTGAGTGCATTTTAGTTCCAGCCCTTGATTTGCTTGTTCTCACTCCCTTTCTGGGCCTCCTTTCTCTCCCTCTCCCTTCCTCCGTCTCCCTGGCATTGTGAACACGACAGGTAGTGAAGAAGGTGGCAAGAGGGGCAGGACTTAATTGCCGCCATCCTGATTCCTGGGTTTCAGACCTGTCTTTTCCCTAGATTTGCTGTATCATTTGGAATATCTATTAGGAATGCATTTGGGTACAAGTAACAGAAACCAGGACCAAAAGTGGCTTCTTTGTCCCATTGAACAAGAAAGCTAGGGCAGCTAAGTCGGCTCACTGGGGACTGGGAAGTTTCCACCTTTCAGCTTCACCACCATTGAGGTGTCAGACTTTGTCTCCCATGTGTTGCCTCATGGTCCCAAAATAGCTGCTTTGCCTCCAGATCTCACGTCCTTTTCCAGGCAGGAAGAGAGGGTAAGAATGAAGAAGCAAAGGATTTTCTCCTAGTGTTCTGCCTTTTCTTTTCCAGCAAAGGACATCCTTTCCAAGGACTTACCTCTACATCCCCCGGCTAGAAGCAGCTGCATGAGCAGTTGAGTTACAGAGTGTTTCGCTCTCTGGACTCTAGAAGAGTCAGGCTGGGGAGCAGGGCTTCACCCTCTCTTCCTCGGCTCTCTACCCAACCCTCTGCAGGTGGAGATGGCGTTGCCCAACATCATGGAGGCTGCCTTCTACTTCCAACAGGCGGGTGTGGGCCTGAGCTCAGATGAGAGTTTCCGCATCTTCATGGCCCTGAGGCAGCTGGTGGAGCAGCAGCCCGTTCGTACCTGCCGCTTCTGGGGCAAGATCCTGGGGCTCAGTGGCAGCTACCTGGTGGCCGAGGTGGAATTCCGGGAAGGTGAGGAGGTGGAGGTGGAGGAGGAGGAGACGACAGAGGGCGGTGAGGGCATGGAGGCCCACGGCGAGGAGGGCGAGGAGGGCGAGGAGCAGGCCCCCGACACCGTCCCCAAGCCCGTGTGGAAGCCACCCCCCGCCATCCCCAAGGAGGAGAGCCGCTCCGGCACCAATAAGTACTTGTATTTCGTTTGCAACGAGCCGGGCGGGCCGTGGACGCGGCTGCCACATGTCACCCCCAGCCAGATCGTGCAGGCCCGCCGGACCAGGAAGTTCTTCACCGGCCGCCTGGACGCGCCGGTCGTCAGCTACCCACCCTTTCCGGGCAACGAGGCCAACTACCTGCGGGCCCAGATCGCCCGCATCTCGGCCGCCACACACGTCAGCCCGCTCGGCTTCTACCAGTCCAACGAGGAGGAGGGCGACGAGGAGGAGGAGGGCGGCGTGGGGCGCGACTCCTATGAGGAGAACCCGGACTTCGAGGGCATTCCGGTGCTCGAGATGGTGGACTCCATGGCCAACTGGGTGCACCACACGCAGCACATCCTGCCACAGGTGAGACTGGGGACGCCCACCTCCCCACCCGTGCCCGCAGAATCAGGCGGCACAGGTGTGAAACAATGACAATCAAGTACCTGCTCTCTGCGAGACATTGTGCTGAGTGGTATTCATGTATGCATTTCTTCAGGTGGTGTTTCATTCATTCAATGCCTGCTGGTTAACAATACCCTGTCAGAAACCTCTGGGGCCAGATCCCTCTTGGAATTCTGAATTTTTCAGGTTGTAAAAAGGTGACATAGTACATACACCATACATCACACAACACCTCAGGCAGGAGCTGGGGCTGGGGCTGGCGCTGGGGCTGCAGCCGGTGTTCAAACGCTCCATTATTTCTGCAGCAAAACTGTATAGCTTCTCATCAGCTCACGTGAGGGTTGCCACCAAATGACTCATGAAAAACTTTTGGTTTCCAAAGCTTTTCAGAATTTGGAATTGTGCCTAAGAGATTGTGGTCCTGCATTTACTGAATGCCTAATGTCTCTGAACATTATATTCATTTATTTCTTCATTCAAGGAAACACCTGCTGTGTGCTAGGAACTTTTATTAATTCATTCATTCAGTAAACATTTATTGAATTCACAATGTTTTATTGAATCCAGATAAGTCCTTCTGAGATGGCATGATCATCATTTCCCAATTCATAGTTGATGAAATTGAAGTCGGCTATGTACTTAGGTTCTTTCATTCAAAAACATATGTTTTCTTATAAAATACCTAGGAATAAATCTAATGAAGGAAGTGAAAGACCTATACTCTGAAAACTACAAGACACTCAAGTGAAATTAAAGGAGATACCAATAAATGGAAACACATCCTGTGCTCATGGATAGGAAGAATTAATATTGTCAAAATGGCCATCCTGCCTAAAGCAATCTACAGATTCAATGCAATCCCTATAAAAATACCAACAGCATTCTTCAACAAACTAGAGCAAATAGTTATAGAATTCATATGGAACCACAAAAGATCCCAAATAGCTAAAGCAATCCTGAAAAGGAAGAATAAAGTGGGGGGGGATCTTGCTCCCCAACTTCAAGCTCTGCTACAAAGCCACAGTAATCAAGACAGTTTGGTTCGGGCACAAGAACAGATCCATAGACCAATGGAACAGACTAGAGAGCCCAGATATAAACCCAAGCATATATGGTCAATTAATATACGATAAAGGAGCCATGGACATACAATGGGGAAATGACAACCTCTTCAACAACTGGTGTTGGCAAAACTGGACAGCTACATGCAAGAGAATGAAACTGGATTATTGTCTATCCCCATACACAAAAGTAAACTTGAAATGGATCAAAGCCCCGAATGCAAGTCATGAAACCATAAAACTCTTAGAAGACAACATAGGCAAACATCTCCTGAATATAAGTATGAGCAACTTTTTCCTGAACTCATCTCCTCGAGCAAGGGAAGAAAAAGCAAAAATGAACACATGGGACTACATCAAACTAAAAAGCCTCTGTACAGCAAAGGACACCATCAACAGAACAAAAAGGCATCCTATAGTAGGGGAGAATATATTTGTAAATGACATATTCGACAAGGGGTTAACATCCAAAATATATAAAGAGTTCACATGCCTCAGCAACCAAAAAGCAAATAACCTGATTAAAAAATGGAAGGAGGATATGAACAGACAATTCTCCAAAGAAGAAATTCAGATGGCTCACAGGCACATGAAAAGATGCTCCACATCGCTAATTATCAGGGAAATGCAAATAAAAACCACAATGAGATATCACCTCACACCAGTTAGGATGGCCAACATAGAAAAGACTAGGAACAACAAATGCTGGTGAGGATGCAGAGAAAGGGGAACCCTCCTACACTGCCGGTGGGAATGTAAACTAGTTCAACCATTTTAAAAAGCAATATGTAGGTTCCTCAAAAAACTCAAAATAGAAATACCATTTGACCTGGGAATCCCACTCCTTGGAATTTACCCAAAGAATACAACTTCTCAGATTCAAAAAGACATATGCACCCCTATGTTTATCGTAGCACTTTTTACAATAGCCAAGATATGGAAGCAACCTAAGTGTCCATCAGTAGATGAATGGATAAAAAAGAGGTGGTCCATATACACAATGGAATACTATTCAGCCATAAGAAAGAAACAAATCCTACCATTTGCAACAACATGGATGGAGCTAGAGGGTATTATGCTCAGTGAAATAAGCCAGGCAGAGAAGGACAAGTACCAAATGATTTCCCTCATTTGTGGAGTATAACAACGAAGCAAAACTGAAGGAACAAAATGGCAGCAGACTCACAGACTCCAAGAATGAACTAGTGGTTACCACAGGGGAGGGGTGTGGGAGGGTGGGTGAGGAGGGAGGGAGAAGGGGATTGAGGGGTAATAAGTTTAGTACACATGGTGTGGGGGGATCACGGGGAGAACAGTGTAGCACAGAGAAGGCAAATAGTGACTCTGTGGCATCATATTACACTGATGGACAGTGACTGCACTGGGGTGTGGGTGGGAACTTGATTATATGGGTAAATGTAGTAACCACATTGTTTTTTCATGTGAAACCTTCATAAGAGTGTATATTAATAATACCTTAATAAAAAAAATAAGGGTTCTTCACCACCTCTTGGGCCCAACAACAATCCAATGAGGCACCCATGATACCCCCACTTCACAGATGAGCAAGCAGAGCATCATATGGGCCGCTGAATGTCAATTCCATCGGGACAGAGACTTGGGGTCTCTTTTCTCAAGGATATATCCCCAGCACCTAGAGTGGCTTTTGTATATAGTCGGTGCTCATTAAATATATGATAAATGAATGAATGCACAGAAACGGGGGCCACACAGCCAGCGGGAGGCAGACGTCTCCATCTCACCGCTACAGCTCTCTCAGCAGCCCCCCACCTGTGTCAGCTCCTGTCCTTCAGTCCTTGACCCTGTCCTCCTGGGCACACCTGGGTCGCTGAGGACAGGGCCAGTCCTCAGTGTCCTGCTTGGCCTTTTACCTCCTCCTAGGGTGCAGGTTGGCTCTGTCCTCCAGGGGAGCCACTGACCTTCCCCCCACCTCCAGGGCCGCTGCACTTGGGTGAACCCTTTGCAGAAGGAGGAGGAGGAGGAGGAGCTGGAAGAGGAGGAAGAGAAGGCCGATGAGGGGCTAGAGGAGGTGGAGCGTGAAGTGGGGCCCCCGCTGCTGACGCCACTCTCAGAGGATGCAAGTAAGGGTCCTCTTCTTGCGCACACCACCAGCCTGCCAGCCTGAGGAGAGAGGGAGGGGCAGCAGATTGCCGGGGGGGGGGTCCTCTGAGCCTCAGGGGTTCTCTCATCTATGAAATGGGCATCACGATAGTGCCTTCCTCATAAGGGCATGGAACACATGTGGCAATGGCCCAGATGGTGGCAGACGGTCTTTGGGGTCCTGCCTGTGCTTGGGGAGAAAGAGAGATAGCTGTGGGAGGCTTCCCCAGGAGAGGTGGGGTCTGAGCTGGATTTTGGAAGACTAAACGGGAGTTTTCCAAGGCTGGGACCTCAGGCAACCGGAGGAAGGAGGAAGGAGAGACTGGCTGGGTAAATGGACAGAGCCTAGATTTGAACCCAGATTTCCAGCAATCTGGGGCCTGTGTCCTGCCCTCTGCCCCCTGGTCCAAACCTATGGCCACCCTGGAAAGAGAGTCAGCAGCTTCCCTGTCTGGGGGCCCCCAGGCTCACCGCCTCCTGAAGGATAAATATCCCCACTTTCTGGGGGCTGTCACTGAGACTCAGGCAGGTGAGGTGGGCTCCTGGGGGCCGCATAGCAAGAGAGTGGTCCCGAGCCAGGGTTCGAGCATCATTGCCATGCTGTTCACCATGAAGGTTCCCTTCATGCCCCAGCTTGCCCTCCCCCTTTGCTCCCTCCCTCCCTTCTTCCTGCCTCCCCTCCAGGGGTCTGTGCAGGGCGGAAGTGCTGAGCCTCTGACCTCTCTGGTGCTCTCCCCTCCCCTGCAGAAATCATGCACATGTCACCCTGGACGGCCCGCGTATCCTGCAGCATCTGCCCACAGTACTCCGTGGCTGTCGTGAGCTCCAATCTCTGGCCGGGCGCCTATGCCTATGCCAGTGGCAAGTAGGTCTTCTGGTCCCTCCCGGCAAAGGAAGCCCCTACAACTCCTTCAGAACCAGGGGGATGGGGCAACTCTTGGGTGGGCAGAGATTGGTAGGACCCCCTTCAGAAAGCCCCAGGGCTGGCCCCCTCGTTAAGCTCCAGGAGTTCCGCTAGGGCTGAAATGATAAATCCCAGACTGAAGAGTGTGACCCTTCATGGAGGACAATGGAGGATCAAAGAAGGGAAGGAATTGACCCAGAGTCACACAGCATGTGCAGGATTCAAACCTGGATCTCTGGCTGGCCCCCCTGGCGCAGGCTTTCCTGCTCTATGGGTCTGGAGCTGTATAGGACTCAGGAGTCCCCTCCCAAGCAGCCATGACAGGGCAGTCTCATCTCAGGAAGATAACTCCTTCCCTGTGCCCCCTGGACAGTTCTTCCAATTTGAAGTGTCTTCCCTCTATGGGGCAGAAGTCTCCCCCACCAGGATCCCCCACCAGTTGCATCCAAAAGATTTGCAGGCCAAAGTCACTCTTGCAACTTTAGAAAGGGAGCTACGTGCTCCCAATCCCTCAGCCTCTCTCCAGGCACGTTCCGTCCTTTCTGCTCAGCCACCGGAGGGCGCCCTCCGCAGCTACCGGGCGGGCGCACTACCAGCTCTGTCCACCAGATGGCACGGCGAGCTTTCATGCATCGTCCTTTTCCATCTCAATGATGTCCCCGCACTGTGCTCATTATTGTCGGATTCCACCTTGATACCTTAACCACATTCTTAGCGATTTTGGTTTTTTTTCCCAGAAGTAGGCGAGAGGCACACTTGCTTTTGCAAACCCCTTTCTTCTGCCTAATTTGCCAACATCCTTCTGAAAGCAAAAGATCCCAGTTTGGAACTCCACCCACCCATCCACCACCCACCCATCCACCACCCAACCGTCCATACACCCATCTGTTTTTTTCTTTATAAAAAACTCTTGAGTGTTACTATTTGCCAACTAGCTGCTGGGCCCCAGGCCCTTTTCTGGAAAGGCAAATATGGATCGGCCCCTGGGAGCACAGGTGTTAACTGTATAGCACCTCTCTCCTCCTCCATCCTGTGACACCCCCTGCCCCATACCCTCAACCCAAACCCCCTCCCCACCCCATCCCAAATACACCGTTACAAACGAAGGTAAGTACCACTAAGGAGAATGGACAGACCAGTGACTTCTCATAACTGTCACGCCTTGAGGGGATCGAGGAAGGACTCCAGGGAAAAACAGCCTCGATCTGAAATCTTTGGGGAAAGAAAGAAGTAGCAGGGGGAAGAACAGGCACAAGGTTCTAGACCAGAGCTTCAAAAGCTGGGAGTGTGTAGCCTCGCCAGGAATCGGGTGGAAGTCCAGGTCTGGCTGCGAGGCCTGGGGTTGGAGCCCGAGAGCCTACCTTCCTCGTGAGCTCACCCCTGGGATGAGGGGGCCGGTTCATGGGCCACAGGAACCAGGACAGGCAGGGGTTGGGGGCTCCAAGCAGGCAGTGTATCTGAAGTCTCTGAGGAACACCCAGAGGTAAACCAATTCTCGGGAACAGCAAGGCTGTGAAAATAAGGTCAAACCCAAACCACTCCCCATAGCCAGACCTTTATTCCCCTCTCCCCGCACTGCTCCTCTCTGCCTCTCTCCCTTTATCCCAGTCTCCTCTTTTCTCCCATTTACTCCTCTCTCCTTCTCTAGTTAAAATTCTGGGGAGACGTGAATTGGCAGGGCTGAGGCCCAACCAGCACGTCCTTGCTTATTATCCATTTCCTCGCTCAACAATGAAGGCTCCATCAGGGCTTCTGGTCTTGTTTTTTCCTGCCAGGTTCCCACTTCTGCATCAACAGTATCCAACATAAATAAAATATGAGTCACATATGTCATTTAAAATTTTCTAGTAGCTACATTCAAAGAGTAGAAATAAACAGGCAAAATTAACTTTAATAATACATTTTATTTAAGCCCAAATAGCATACATATTATCATTACAACATGAAATCAATCATGCAAAAATTATTAATGAGCTATTTTAGGTTCCTTTGTTCCATACTAAGGTTTCAGTATCCGGTGTGAACTTTTTATTTTATTTAAGCCCAAATAGCATACATATTATCATTACAACATGAAATCAATCATGCAAAAATTATTAATGAGCTATTTTAGGTTCCTTTGTTCCATACTAAGGTTTCAGTATCCGGTGTGAACTTTACACTTATAGCATATCTCAATTTGCATGCTAAATTTTCATCAGGAATCCTTGGCCTACATTCAGATTTCACAACATTTACAGTTGAAAAAGTAGATTCATGTATGCAAGTTGTCCCAGACATTTTTCAATAACTGGATTCCGTATCAGTTTTATTGTTTAGATGAATTAAAACAAAATCCACTCAATTCAACAACAGCAGAACACACGTTCTTCTCAAGTGCACATGGAACATTCTCTAAGATAGGCCATATGCTAGGCCATAAAACATGGCTCCATAAATACAAGAGAATCGTTTATACAAAATATGTCCTGCGACCACACTGGAATGAAGTTAGAAATTGATAACAGAAGGGAGTTTGGGATATTCACAGATATGAAGACATTAAACAACATACTCCTAAACAATTGGGTCAAAAAAGAATTCACAAGCAAAATCAGAAAAATAGAATGAGAAATGCAGGTTTTTGGTCACACTAGCCACCTTTCAAGTTCTCAATAGCTACATGTGTTACTGGACAATGCAACTCTAGCACTTAGCAGATGCTCAATAAATACTGCATGAACAAATGAACAGAGAAAACTGATGGGCACAATTCCCCCTACCACACCCACAACTTGGCAATCATGCAATGCCTACTCTGGGGCCATCCCTCACAGACGTCCAGACTGGGGCCTTTAAGGGAGAGCTTCCCAGTATCTCTTTGCCCCTCCAGGAAGTTTGAGAACATCTACATCGGCTGGGGCCACAAGTACAGTCCCGAGAACTTCAACCCACCCCTGCCACCCCCCATTCAGAAAGAGTACCCCAGCAGCCCAGAGATCATGGAGATCAGTGACCCCACAGTGGAGGAGGAGCAGGCCCTCAAGGCTGCCCAGGAGCAGGCCCTGGCAGCTGGGGAGGAAGAGGAGGAGGAGGAGGAGGACCTGGATGACTGAAGCCCCGTAACCCTCTCCCCCAAGCAGGTAGATGGAAAGTTTTCCCTTATAGATAGAGAGGTTTGGGTTGTTTTTCCATTGCTGTTTTGCTTGATGCCCCTGGAGGGCAGGCGTGGAAGACAAAGGCAGCTGCTCCCAATAAAATTTCCCCATGGCATTACAGCCAAGTCACTCATTCATGTGTCTACCTCCTATGTTGACATGGCTTCCAAGTCAGGACTGTTTGCTCTGCTGGGAACATAGACATTTCCTGGCACGTCTGTTAACCAGCCTCCCATTGCTTCATTTATTCATTCTTCTGGCCGTCAAACAACTACTGAAGTGCTTCCTGTCAGCCCAGCACTGCACTGGTGAGGGGGCACAGAGGTGACTAAGGAGCCCCAGCTCTGCTTTGCTGAGCTCATACTCTACAGGAGAGACAGGTGCATCCCCAGGCAATGACAGCCTGGGTAGGGGAAACCAGAGGACTGACAGCTCCTGACCTGACTCTTAAAAGGTCAAGAATAGAATAGGAAAGAACATTCCAAAGCAAAGGGAACAGCATGTGCAAAGACCCACAGGCAAGAGAGAGTGTTATGTGTTGAGGTAGTTTCTCAAACCTCATTTTTTGGGGACATGGTGTGAAGAGTTAGTGGTGAGAAATGAGGTTGGAAAGAGACTTTGGCATGAGCACATCACTTTGGGCTTCACTTTGCCTTAAGAACACTAGGGAGCCACAGATGGGCTTTGAGATGGGGAGGGCCTTGATCATATTTGTGCTTTAGAACAAACCTCTCTAGACATAGAGGGGTGAGACAGGAAGGAGTCTGGGAGAGCAGAGACAAGGATGATACAGGGAGGTCCTGAGTAGGAGAGGAGTTTGGGCCAGGGCTATGCAGAGGAAGGGACTGGAAAAGAGGAATTCAGGTGACAGAAAGCAAAAGACTTGGGGACTGGAAGCAGGGTCTAAAGGGAAATGGTACAAATATAGGGAGACGCTGAGGTCTGTGCCTGGATGACTGGGGGAGATGGCAGTGCTGGCCCTAAGATGGGGACACGGGTGAGAAGCAGGATTTGGAATAAGATGTCAATTTCACTGTAGCCCTTGTTGACTGTGAGATGCCTCTGGAATATTCTGGTGAGAAATCTGGGAGGCCACTGAATAAGTGGGTCTAGGAAGGTCTGTGATTGGAGCAGGGTGGCTTCAGCAGAAGTGAAGGGTGCTGGCTAACAGTGGGGTCTGTTGGGATCAGGAAAAACTTTGGGGTTACTAGTGAGATAACTTTTGGAATCTGAGGTGAGTGTTGGAGGACCGCGTGAGATCGCTGAAGACAGTGAAGTCATGGAAATATGTATTAGATGTTGGTGGGAAATGTGAAGATGTTTAGGGTTAGCATTCATCAGTACAGGTAGTGGGCCACAGGAAGTCCTTGGAATTTTATGGCGACACCAGAGATCGGCAAGATTTGGAGGATCAAGAGTGGGGAAGAATGGTTGGAGATGTGGTGGCCAGTGTGGGGCCTTAAGATGTCAGTGGGAAACATTGGTGGTCAGGAGGGTGGGTGCATGTTGAGAATCTAAGGAGACACTAGGGTCACCTGGGGTCATCTGGGATGTGAAGGGAAGGCCAGGATGTGTACAAGGGCTTCTATTCCGTTGCTAAGCAAGCGGTTCCCATGGCGCCGTTGCTAGGGACTTGTGGGGGTTTTTTTTTCTTCGGCTCCGCTCCACAGCCAATCAAACGGCGGTAGCAGGCACGAAGGCTGCACCCACCTTTTCTCCCCGCCCACAACCCCAGAACCGTTACCCGAGCGACGGCTGGAGCTCCTCCCGCCTCCCGGCTCTGCTGCCAATCGAAGAGGCGTTGTCCAGGCGACGACCCCACCTCTTCCGGCGCCGGCCCGCGGCTTCCGGCAGGGGCCCGGCGGCGGGCGGCGGTCCGGCAGCGGCTGGGCCCGGGGGGCGCCCAAGATGGCGGCGGGCGGTGCGGAGGGCGGCTCGGGCCCCGGCGCCGCCATGGGGGACTGCGCGGAGATCAAGTCGCAGTTCCGCACCCGCGAGGGCTTCTACAAGCTGCTCCCCGGCGACGGCGCCGCTCGCAGGTCGGGTCCGGCTTCCGCGCAGCCCCCGGCGCCGCCCCAGCCGCCGCAGCCCCCGCCGGGCCCTGCCTCTGCCTCCGGCCCCGGCGCCGTGGGCCCCGCTCAGTCCCCGCCGCCCGCAGGGCCCGGACCCGGGCCGGCGCTGCCCGCCGTGCGCCTCAGCCTCGTGCGCCTCGGGGAGCCCGACTGCGCCGGGACCGGGGAGCCGCCCGCCACTCCCGCGGGTCTGGGTGCTGGAGGAGACCGCGTCTGCTTCAACTTGGGCCGCGAGCTCTATTTCTACCCGGGCTGCTGCCGCCGCGGGAGCCAACGGGTGAGCGGCCTGCATCGTGAGATCCTGGGAACTGGCTGAGAGGATGGGGGTCCCTGAGGTGATGCCGAAGTGATAGGAGGGCCTCCGAATTGATATGGGCCCTGAGATAGGCATCCTGGACGTGATGGACATCCCAGGGGGTGAATGTTCTCGGGGCTTAACGCAGGACTTTAGAAGGGGAGAGGAGGCCCCCCGGGAGCTGGCCACCCTAGAGGTGATGGGAAGCCTTAAGGGCCTGTGGGATCCCCAGATCATGCGTAGGAGTTCTGGGATGGTGGGTATTTTGGAGATAATGGAGCGTCTGACCAGGGTTCTGGGTGGCAGGCACCCTGCCGCTGATGGGGAATCCTGAGGTGTGATGCAGGCCCAGAAGTGATGGAGAACCCAGGGGTATTGCGGTCCAGAGGTGTTTGGAGGGGTCTTGAGACTTGGGGGGCCCAGAGGTAAGGAGGATTCTGGAAGTGATGGGGGACTTAGAGGTAATAGGGATCCTGAATGTTAATGGAATCCTAGAGAAAATGGGTCCTAGAGGAAGTGAACATTTCTGAGCTGATGGGAGATGTGGAGGTGATGAGAGTCCAGAGGGGACATCCCTTGGTGTGATGGGTGTCTCTAAAGAGTGTGGTCCTGGAGGAACAAGACCCCTGGAGTTTATGGTGGTCCCGGGAAATGATGGTGCTCCTGAGAGCCCAGAGGTGGTGAAAGTACCTACAATGTGGGGGATCGTGATGTCTAATGGGTCTCTAAACTGTGATGGGGGAACTGAGATTTAGGATTTCCAAAGTGAAGAGAATCCTGGGACTGGGGATCTGGGTGACCCTGAGTTTTGAAGGGCTTGGAATATCGTGGCACTAAGACTCAAGGGAGTTTGCTGAGGTTATGGGCCCAGACTGGAAAGGAATTGTAACTGTGGGGACCCTGAACCCTGATACTGTGGGCAAGGATGTCGCTGAATTTGGGGGCCCAGCTTTGGGGGAGAAGAATGTGCTTTCATGCAGGGTTTGGGGAACCTTCCTGTCTGTTTTTCCTCTAGCCTGTGATTTGAGTCCCCCTTCCTGTATGTGGTTGCCCCCTGCCTCCCCACCCACCCATCCATCTACCCACTTCCCTCAGGGATGTGACCCAGCTTCCTCTTAGTGGTTTACCCCAACCTCAGCACCTTCCTCCTTCCTCTCAGTGGCAGAAGCCATTAACTCCTTTTCTCCCACTGCTCAAAGTCCATTGACCTCAACAAGCCAATTGACAAGCGGATCTATAAGGGCACCCAGCCCACCTGCCACGACTTCAACCAGTTCACTGCTGCCACGGAGACCATCTCCCTGCTGGTGGGCTTCTCAGCCGGCCAGGTGCAGTACCTGGATCTCATCAAGAAGGACACCAGCAAGCTCTTCAATGAAGAGGTGATGGTGGGCCCCAGGGTCCGGAAGTGCTGCTCTTCCCAACTGCCCACGCACATACTGCTTGCCGTGAGACTGCAGCTGCCTGGGGAGCAGTGCAGGCCTGAAGGGGGCAGGGGGTGGGGAAGATGGGGATGGACTGGCAGGTATGTGGGATGGGGTGACAGCAGTGAGTTGCTCACAGTGAATAATGACAGCTGCACCTACTGTGCCCAGGCCCTGTGCTGTGTTAGCCGTGTGCTGAACACGTGACTCCCAGTGGATTGGGGGCTGCGATGCCCATTTTGCAGATTAGAAAACTGAGGCTAGTCACCAGTCAGGACTTGTTTGAAGCCAGAGCCCTTGCTCTTCAAATTCCAGGCCCTGTGGGCATTGGATTCAAATCCCTGCTGCCCCGTTGATTTACCATATGGCTTTGGGAAGGTGGCTATTCGTCCCTGAGCCTCAGTTTTCCTCTCGGCATAATGGGATTCTCATCCCTACCTCACAGGACTTGTAAAATCATATGTGAAGGTTGCCCAGTCCTGAATAGGCTTGGCACGAAAGGAAATGCCAGTGAGAGACGTTACCAATGGTCAGGGATTACTCTTGTTCCGTATTTCTTTCTCTCTGTTCAGGGGAGGTGTCCCAAATACACAGAACATGTGAATGGCAGGCAGAAGTGAGTGGAACAGTGAATGGATTAAAAAGCACTAGTTCATCCATTCACAAAATATTTATTGAGCATTTGTTCTGTGCCAGGCAGTGTTCTAAGCACTGCGGATACCACATCTCAGTGAGCAAAACAGAGGGCCCTGCCTGTGTGGACCTTTCATCTAGCTGGGGAGGCAAGTTACTGAATAAGAAGTATGCCAAGGCTCAGAAGGGGAGTGAGTGCCCTGGAGGAAAATCCAGCAGGAAGGGGGATGGGGAGGGCCTGGTGAGGTTTAAGTAGGGTCGTCTGGTAAGGCCTTACTGGGAGGGGACATCGAAGTAAAGACAAGACGGAGGCACGAGAGTTGCAGGTGGAGAGGACTCTGTGAGTAGACAGAACAGTGAGGACAAAAGCCCCGAGGACAAAAGCCGGACAACAGAAAGGTCACGGGCCAGAGCAGCCACTGCTGGGATGGTGGTAGATAAGTTCTGAGAAACCTGCTGGGGCCACCGTATAGGGTCTGGAAGGCCATGGGGAAGACTTCGGCTTTTAGAGCCTTATCAGCTGGGGTGCATCTGAGCAAGAGAACACAAAAATGATTATTTTCTAAATTGTCCCAAGAAAGAAGCAATTTAAATGCCTGGAAAAATGTTCATTTAACTCATGTGCAGCAGGTGCCTAAGGGCTTTGGGGCTTAGTTCTTTCCAGGTAACCTTGGTCCAGAAGGCTGTGGTGGTGGTCAGAACAGGAGAGGGCCAGGTACTGACTTCCATTTTAACAGCATCTCTAGTTTACCGTGTGGTGGCCTGGAGGCTGGCTGGGCCACTTGCAAGGTTGATGGTGGCTGGGACCAGGGTGGCAGGGATGAGAAGAGATTGGATTCAGTTGAAGGATTGGATGTGAGTCCTGAGGAAAACAGGAGCAGAGATGCTTGGCTGGTAGGATGGGGTTGTCATTCATGTGTCCAGGGAAGCCTTTCTAGGAGCCTCCTGTATGCACAGCTCTGTGTTTTGGGCAGGAACCATGAGGCAAATAGACCCTTTCCTTGGGGGTGCAGGGGTGGGGGTGGGGTGGAGGTTGGTATTCTGTGACTCTCTCTCTTACCTTAAGCCTGATGTGGTGAAGACAGTGGAGAGGGTGAGACAGGTAGAGGACAGTTCTTTGGAAGACAGGACTGCCTCCTTGCCGATGATGGGACAGCAGAGCTCCACTGAGTAGCCTGTGGCTGCTCCAGGCTGCCCTTCTTCCCCTGCATTCCCATCCCCTGTGTCCAGCCGACTCCCACAGTGTGGGGGGGCCCTATCCAAGGAGGCCCAGCCAGGCCTGAGGCCTTCTCTGGGGAAGCAGGCCAGGGAGGTCTTCAGAGGTGGACTGCCTCCTTGCAACCCCCACTGTCTCCCCTGGCAGCGGCTGATTGACAAGACCAAGGTGACGTATCTGAAGTGGCTGCCTGAGTCGGAGAGCCTGTTCCTGGCCTCACATGCCAGTGGCCACCTGTACCTGTACAACGTCAGCCACCCGTGCGCCTCGGCCCCGCCGCAGTACAGCTTGCTGAAGCAGGGGGAGGGCTTTGCCGTCTACGCCGCCAAGAGCAAGGCACCGCGCAACCCGCTGGCCAAGTGGGCAGTGGGCGAGGGGCCCCTCAATGAGTTTGCCTTCTCACCTGACGGCCGGCACCTGGCCTGCGTTAGCCAGGATGGCTGCCTGCGCATCTTCCACTTCGACTCCATGCTCCTGCGGGGGCTCATGAAGAGCTACTTTGGGGGCTTGCTCTGTGTGTGCTGGAGCCCAGACGGGCGCTATGTCGTCACGGGGGGTGAAGATGACCTGGTCACTGTGTGGTCCTTCACTGAAGGCCGTGTGGTGGCCCGTGGCCATGGCCACAAGTCCTGGGTCAATGCTGTGGCCTTTGACCCCTACACCACGAGGGCAGAGGAGGTGGCAGTGGCAGCCAGTGGTGACATGGAGCGGAGCTGCGAGGAGGAGGAGGAGCCTGAGGCTGTGGGCACAAGCTCGGGCGGGGGAGCTCCCCTCTCCCCTCTGCCCAAAGCCAGCCCCATCACCTACCGCTTCGGCTCAGCCGGCCAGGACACACAGTTCTGCCTGTGGGACCTCACTGAGGATGTGCTGTATCCCCACCCACCCCTGGCCCGCACCCGAACCCTTCCCGGCACGCCTGGCACCACACCGCCTGCCACCAGCAGCTCGCAGCCTGGTGAGCCAGGCTCTGGCCCGCTGCCCCGCTCGCTGTCCCGCTCCAACAGCCTCCCACACCCGGCGGGCAGTGGCAAGGCGGGCAGCGCCAGCACAGCGACTGAGCCGGGCACGCCGTTCAGCATTGGCCGCTTTGCCACACTCACGCTGCAGGAGCGGCGGGACCGGGGAGCCGAGAAAGAGCACAAGCGCTACCATAGCCTGGGCAACATCAGCCGGGGCGGTGGTGGGGGCACGGGCGGGGGGGACAAGCCCAGTGGCCCTGCCCCCCGCAGCCGGCTGGACCCAGCCAAGGTGCTGGGCACAGCGCTGTGCCCGCGCATCCATGAGGTGCCGCTGCTGGAGCCCCTGGTGTGCAAGAAGATCGCCCAGGAGCGGCTCACGGTCCTCCTCTTCCTGGAGGACTGCATCATCACCGCCTGCCAGGAGGGCCTCATCTGCACCTGGGCCCGGCCCGGCAAGGCGGTGAGTCACTCCACACCTGCCAGCCTGGGACCCAGGAAGAGGCGGGCATTGGCAGAGGGGTTTGTACTGTCACATCCCCTAGCCCTGTGGAATGAGGGCAAGCAGGGAAATTTTAGTGCCCCAGAACACTAAGACTTCTCAGATCTTAAAAGAGTTAATGGGCTTCTAAAACTCCTGGTCACAGTCAGCAGAGTGGGCCGGGTTAGAGACAGTTGGGGGTGGTGAGGATCATGGCCCACTATCTGAGGGGCAGCCAGTGGGCCCAGCATGGCCAGCTTTTAATGTCTGTCACTCAAAGCTGAATCCATGTTCTGCAGAAAATGATTTTTGCATGGTTACCTCTTGAATATTGCCAGTCAAGCTCAATAGACAGGATCGAGCCTGTGGGCTCAGCTTCCAATGTGGGTCTCAGACTCCAGATCTGAGCCCACAGCTGATAGCACGGCTGGAAGAATCCCAAGCTGGGGTTCCAGCCCTGTATTTTGCTCCCCATGTGACCTTGGGCAAATCACTGCCCATCACTGGCCTCTGTCACCTCTTAGGACAGGGCAGGTTGAAGATGGTCAGTGCGTGGATATGCATACCTCCTGGAGTGGCCGTGAGGTTCAGGAAGGTCCCAGTGGGTGAAACACAGGCCTGGCTTGGCACTTTGGAGCTGTGTTCGCAGATGGCTTGGCTCCCCTGTGTTTGGACTCCAGTGCCCAGGAAGTTAGATCTGAGGGCCGAGACGTGGTTCCTCAGAAAATCAGTTTTGACATCATAGGGTCCTGAATCCTTAGAACTTAAGAGCACAGTCTCAGAGCCTCAGAGGCAGGGGCCTCTGGGATTTGGGGTCTGACAAGTCCTGAAAAAGACCCCTCTGTCTCCTTAGTTCACAGATGAGGAGACCGAGGCCCAGACAGGGGAAGGAGGTTGGCCCAGGTCACCCAGCAAGTCAGTGGTAGAGGTAGGATTGTCCCTGAGTTCTTTCCCCTTGATCCCAGAATCTCAGGACCGCCCCAGTCAGAAGCGGACCCAGTTTCTCCCTGTCCTCCCACCTCCACCCTTACCCCATCTTGTCTGCCCAGGATTATTTACCTGAGGACTTTCATTATTGTATAAATGTGCAGCCTGCTGGGACAGGGAAGCTAGCCAAGATTTAAGTTACAGAGCTGGGAGCAGCGGCCTCTGGGAGTCTGGGGCAGACTGAAGGGCAAGGCCAGGTTGGCAGCAGCCCTGGGGACCCTGAGCTGTCTCCCTGTGGGACTGGTGGGGACCCCAGGCAGTCTCTAACCATCCTTTCCCCTCTCATCTTCCCTAGGGCATCTCCTCCCAACCAGGCAACTCCCCAAGTGGCACAGTGGTGTGAAGCCATGGATGTCGGGGTCCCCCACTCCATGTCCCCTGCCTCCTAGCCATAGCCCTCCCTGCTGACCTCATGGATCAACGTATTAACAAGACTAACTACGACGGAGGGGCTGCTCCAGTCCTCCACCCTGCACAAATCTGAGGGGTAGAGGGTCCCCCAAACTGACCTAGACACTGGGGGGATGTAGTGGCCCTTGTGGCCTCAGCCTTGTCCCCACCCACTGCCAAGTACAATGACTCCTTCCTCTGAAATATCAGTGTTTGCCTCATCCCTGTCCCCAGCACGTGACTGGTCACTCCTGGGGAGAAGTCCCCACCCACAAAAGCCACTGCTCCGCAGTGTGCCCCTCGGTCCTCTGGGCAGGGCGGGGGCTGGCTCGCCCCTCCCCTGGCCCCAACCCACCCTTGCCATTGTTTGTGCTTTTGAAATGTTAAATTATGGAAGCCCCTGGGGGACCTCCCTGTCCCCCAAGACCTCTTATTTATACTAAAGTTCCCCGTTTTCACAGTGTCTTTGTTCCCTTCCGCTGAGGTGTGGGGGAAGCGGGTGTGTGCCATCACTGTGGTTCTAGGTTCCGTCCACCTAGCCAGGCCCTTCGGCCCCGCCCAGCTCAGGGCGGTGCGTCCCTGCCGCAGGCCGTGAGCATTCCCCTGCCCCAACTCTGGGAAGGGAACCGCCAGAGCCTGCTTCTCTTCCAAGCCCCTGAGTCCCTCGGAAGGGCCTAAACTGTCCAAACCAGACATTACAGGGGCCTGGAGTGAGCTTTGTTGCGTACAGAGCATGGCCTCCTGTACCCCAGGCCAGGCTCAGTCAGGCGCAGGGGTCCAAAGCCAGCTAGAGACCATGGCTTCCTCAAGAGAGCTGTCCACCCCGGCAGAGAACAACGCGGATCCCTCCTGGCCAGCCTTCTGGAGCTGCAGGGAGCCGTGTCTCCCCGCTCTGCCCGCCACCCCCCGAAATGTTTCTGTTTCTAATCCTAGCCTGGGCAGGAATGTGGCTGCGCGGCCAGGGTCCAAGGAGCTATTTTGGGGGCTCCTTTGCCTCCCCCAGGCTTTGACCAGTGGGTCACCCCCGGTCCTGGCTCCTGAGGGCCTCCCTTCCCAAGTCTCTCTCGCCACCCCTTCCCCACCTCCTGCCAAAAAAAGTCAGTGTAAGGCACCAGGCCTGAGGGCTAAATTTAAACTGTCCCAAAGTCTGAATCTGTGGCTGAGTCACCCACAAAGCTGCCCTGGCCTCTCGCTGCCCCCTTCCCAGACCTCACCCCTTTCTCCTCCCCTCCCCTCCCCAACTCCAGGGCTTGGGAGGGTGTTACCCAGATTGCTCTGAACCTCAATTGGCCCCCTCTGGGGAATGGGAGGGCTCAGCTTTGACGTCTGTCACACCTGTAGCTTCCTCTTTGCTCTGCCTTTTTTCTGGGTGAGGGGAGTGCAAGACTTGAAATCCTATACCCCTCATCCCATGCTGAAACATTCAGAGGGGCCCTGGAAGGACGGAGTTGGGGGCCTGGCTTGTGAGGGGTTAAGGCTGGGAGGCAGGAGGGGGCTGGACCGAGGGGTGGGGAGAAGGGGAGGAGGCCTCAGCAGCAGAGAGAAGTGGCCAGAGAGGCCCAGGGGACAGCCAGGGACAGGCAGACATGCAGCCAGAGCCCCAGGGCCTGGATAGGGGCCCCAGGGCCCCGTGACAGGAGGACCCCGAGCCCCAGGCCCGGGGAGAGGGCCATGGTGCTGCCTGCCCGACATGTCAGCCGAGGTACGGCTGAAGCGACTCCAGCAGCTGGTGCTGGACCCTGGCTTCCTGGGGCTGGAGCCCCTGCTCGACCTTCTCCTGGGCGTCCACCAGGAGCTGGGCGCCTCCGACCTGGCCCAGGACAAGTACGTGGCCGACTTCTTGCAGTGGGGTGAGTGCCTGCCTGCATGGGCTCCCCCAGATTTGGCAGGGGTAGGGCAGGGCGGACGCAGGAGACGGGTCTGGGTGCAGGGACTGGTTGTGGGGGTAGGACACATGAGGAGAGCGTCCCATTCAGAGGTCTAGGGTTTAGGCCTGGGTCGTGGGGCACCAGGCCCCTGCCCCTGTGCCACCCTGACAGCCAGAGTGGGTCAGCAAAGGCCAAGGCAACCATGACTCAGAACCATGACTTGGGAGTCATGGGAGGCTGTGCCCAGCCCAGCCTCCCATAGTCCGCCTGAAACCCCTCCCCGAGACTAGGCCTAAGGACCTGCTGGAAGCCCTGTCTCCTGGGACTGCCCCCACCAAAATGGGACCTGTGATCCTCCACTCTGGCTTCCCAGAGCACAGGGGCAGGCGGAAGGGACAGCACGGGGCAGCTGCCAGGGGCGCGGCTGATGGGCAGGTGTTCGGCGCCAGCCTCTCCAGCTGCCCCAACAGGTGCCCAGGCCCTGGGAGGCACAGTGACTCAGGCAGGCCCTGGAGGAAAACAGCTCTGCAGACAGGTGCCACCCAGCACCCCCTGGTTGGAGGAGGAACAATTTAGGGTTCTTCTGGGTGTGCCCACTTTCCCTGTAGGTTCTCTGCCTGTCCCCCCATCTTGCTCCCTCCTAGTCTTCATGGGTCAGCCTTGAGTCCCTTCCAGTTCCCGGGTCCCTTCATTTGGCTAGTTCATGACCAACCTTGCAGCTCTCCCACGATGCCCCTTCTTGTCTGGTCTTCCCGTGGAGACAGGGCAGAGGAAGCTGCCTCAACCCCAGCCTCCTTATCTGCCCCTACCCGCCGCTGGCCCAGGACTCAGGCTCACAGGTCTCTGTCTCTGACATTCTGCCACTCTGTTCGTCCTCTGGTCTGCCCCTCGGTGGCTGGTTCTTGGGCCTTGGGAGCTGCGTGTCCCTGGCCCTATTTCCGGTCTCTTTGCCTTCTCCTGCTCCCCCTTGTGTCCATCTCTTTCTACCCCAGGCCCTGCTCTTCTCCCTCCTCCCATTCACAGATGAGATGGTGGAGGCCAAAGGCCAGACCACTCAGTCCCTGGAAGAACCTTCTCCCCACCTTCCCACAGCTCTGAGTAACTCTCTCAGCCCTGCTTTGGCAGAAGGTGAAGGTGGCTGGCAGGGTAAACTGAGACCCTAGGTGGGGGCAGGGGTCTGGCTCTCTGGTTAGAATCACTCCTTTTGTGGCTGGAGTAGCATCCCGCCGTCCCTCCCCTGCCTGGCTGCTGGGCGGGGGAGGGGGCCTGGGTTCCCGCTGCCTTAAAAGGGCTCAATGTCTTGGCTCTCTCCTCCCTCCCCCATCCTGGGCCCTGGCTAGTTCTTCCCTGCCGGCCCACTCTCCCCAAACCCCGTGGGGGGGTCCCTTTCTCCCCTCCATAACTCACTGAATCAACTCATCCCTGCTCTCACCCATCCCACTCCATCCTGTGTCCCAAGTCTCCAGCTTCTTCCACCCCCTGGAGTCCTGGCCTCCCTCTCCCCCAGGCCCTTGAATCTCCTGCTTATACACACACACACACACACCTTACCCCCTCCCAAACTGCCTTCTTTAACCTTCTAGCGGGTGTAGGACCTTAGGCAAATGACTTCACCACTCTGAGCCTTCAGGGTAATAATAATCAAGCCCTCTCTTGGAGCAGAGAGGAAAGTGATAACGCACTTGAAACTTGCCTGCAGGCAGGCCTGGAGCCCGGATTTGGTCTGGCTAGCTTTGTCTCCTGGCGTTGCTTCTCGCAGCCCCAATACATTTTCCCAAAGTGTGGTCCAGGAGCCACTTGCATCTAAACCTGGAGGCACAGGCTTAAACTTGTTCTGGGCTATAACCCAAGACCGACCGTGGGGCGGCTGGGCGGGGAGGGTAGAAGGAGAAAGGGGGGTGCGGGCACCTTCACCAGGGGCTCCCCCCACCGTGGGAGTGGAGCCTGGAGCTCCAGGGACTGGGTCTTAGATCTTTGCCCTCTGTCCTTTAGGGCCACTCCTCTGCAGGCTTTTCACCCCACTCATCGCACCACCAGAGCACTGGCCCAGTGCCCTGCCCTCACTCAAAGAGGGTTTCCCAGCATCTCATCTCTCTGTAGGAGGGCAGTTTTGGGTCCCCAGGCCACACAGGGGCAATGTGGGGAAGCCTGTAGGAGGCGACAGTCCTAAAGGGAGGGGCAGAGAGAAGGGGAGTCTGAAACCAAGGGGCTGGGACAGGGGGCGACCAAGGCATAAGGGTGGAACTTCCTCCTCGTTTTGGGTGTTAGTCCCAGTGACCTGCTATTCTCACCTCTTCCTGCCTCCCCACAGTGGAGCCCATCGCGGCGAGGCTTAAGGAGGCCAGACTACAGAGGAATGACTTCGAGATTCTAAAGGTGATCGGGCGCGGAGCGTTCAGCGAGGTGAGCTTTGAGCAGCTGCGGCAACTCCTAAGGGCTGGAGACGCGACTATTTGTGCAATGGGCGGAGCATATGAGTTAGGGGCGGGGCCTTTGAAATTGATGAATGACTGAGTTTGGAATATAAGAGAGAGGCTGCGGGGGAGGGCGGGGCTTGAGGGCGATGGGCGTGGCAAGTGGGGACCCGGCACGGCTGGGGCGGGGTTAGGGGTGGAGTCCAATCTGGTCCAGCCCTGGTGTTTTACCCGCCAGCTCTGCCCCAGTCACCGTGTTTTGGCCTTCAGGTAGCGGTGGTGAAGATGAAGCAGACAGGCCAAGTGTACGCCATGAAGATCATGAATAAGTGGGACATGCTGAAGAGAGGCGAGGTGAGGGGCGGGGGCTGGAAGTGCAGGGCGCTGAGGATCCCCCTGCCCCCACTCGCTTCAGCTCCGGTGCCCCGCAGGTGTCGTGCTTCCGCGAAGAAAGGGATGTGTTGGTGAACGGGGACCGGCGCTGGATCACGCAGCTTCACTTCGCCTTCCAGGATGAGAACTACCTGGTGAGACCCAAGCTGGGGCGACTAGAAGGATGGACTCCCGCCCCCGAGGCTGTCAGTTAACAAGGCGGGAGGCAGGGAGAGGAAGTTCTGGGATTGCGGAGCGGCCTGGAAATGCTTGCGGGAGTCGCTGTGTGTGGTAGGAATGGGCCTTCATTTTCAGAATGGAAGCTGTCCCTTAGCGTTCTTTTTGCCGGGCTGATTCTGGGGTATTCAGTTAAGATGCTGCCGTGGGGGAATCCCTTACCTGGAATGGGGTAGCTCTCTTGAAGTCTGTGTGGGAACCACCTGGGTAGGGAGTGTCTGGGCCGTATACCCTGGGCATTGGGAGGCCTCTGGGTTCTCTTTTTCCCAGATTTTCACCGGGGGAGTGAATCTGTTCAGAGATATCCTGGCGGAATGGGAGGGGTTTTTTGTTGTTTTTTTTTTTGCCAGGGGTGGTGGTGGTGTCTGATTTGGCCTGGGGGATCTCTTGGGGCTGGGGCTGTGGAGGTATAGGGTGTCTCTGGGAGTCTTTCTCCTGGCCTATCAGCGATCCGAACATGGGGGGGCTACCGACCCCCCATGACATACCCTTCTCTCAGTACCTGGTCATGGAGTACTACGTGGGCGGGGACCTGCTAACGCTGCTGAGCAAGTTTGAGGAGCGGATCCCGGCCGAGATGGCGCGTTTCTACCTGGCCGAGATTGTCATGGCCATAGACTCGGTGCACCAGTTGGGCTATGTGCACAGGTGGGCATTGCAGGGGTTGAGGGGCAGGCCCCAGAGGGATAACAAAGGTTGTACCTGGAAGTTTGAAGCCCAGAGTGGGTGGGGCGCAGAGAGGGACTAGTTGATTGGGGCCCACTGGGGATAGGGCCAGAGTGTCGGGTCCAGAATTGTAAAATCCCCAAAGGGCAGAAGTCCACGATGTGAGGCCTAAGGGCTGGGCCTGGAGGGATAGGAATTGGAGAGCCCTAAGAGAGTGGGTCCTGAAACGGTGCTTCCTAGAGGGTTGGAGCCTGGGGGGCTGGTGGGAGGGAGGGAGGCTCACTTTTCTCCCACTCCCCTTCTTGTCTTTGCGCAGGGACATCAAACCGGACAATATTCTGCTGGACCGCTGTGGCCACATCCGCTTGGCCGACTTTGGTTCCTGCCTCAAGTTGAGGGCAGATGGAACGGTGAGCGGTGCGCCGCCACGGGCAACTTAGGCCACTACGAGTGGAGTCAGGGCTGGGACGGCAGATGCAGGGGTATGGGAGCCGGTGGCGGCGTGGGCAGATCCAGGGTGCGGGAGGACTAGGTTTGAAGGGAGGAGGCGACTCAGGCTTATTGTGAGTGTGACTCAGGTTAGAACAGGGAGGGACTAAGCACTCGGGGCGTGGTCAGGAGGGGGCGGAGCCCAGACTCAGCCCAGTGCCTTTCGGCTCAGGTGCGGTCGCTGGTGGCAGTGGGCACCCCGGACTACTTGTCCCCTGAGATTCTGCAGGCCGTGGGCGGCGGACCCGGGACAGGCAGCTACGGGCCTGAGTGTGACTGGTGGGCGCTGGGCGTGTTTGCCTATGAAATGTTCTACGGCCAGACGCCCTTCTACGCAGACTCCACTGCCGAGACTTATGGGAAGATAGTGCACTACAAGGTGAGCAGAGCCTGGGGAGCCCACAGTCTTCCTTTGCACCTGCAGCCAAGTAACATTCCCCACTTTCCCTCTCCCTCTGAGCAGGATCATCTGTCTCTACCGGTGGTGGATGCAGGGATCCCAGAGGAGGCTCGCGACCTCATCCAGAGGCTACTCTGTCCCCCGGAGATGCGGCTGGGCCAGGGTGGAGCAGGCGATTTCCAGAAGCATCCTTTCTTCTTTGGCCTCGACTGGGAGGGTGTTCGTGACAGCGTGCCCCCCTTTACGCCAGATTTTGAGGGTGCCACTGACACGTGCAACTTCGATGTGGTGGAGGACGGGCTCACTGCCATGGTGAGCGGGGGCGGGGTAGGTACCTGCGACCACCGCTTGGCTGACCGTGCCTCCCCATCCTTCATCCGTAAAGTCAGGGTTAGGATGGTATCCATCTCCTGGGGTCCTGAAATCATTCCTGCCCAAGGCCCTAGGTTCATAGTCTGTGGGGGCACAGACTGGTCCCCAGACAATGATGCTTCAGCGAAATCAGGGCTAAGATGGGGGAGTGTAGGGAGCGGGGCTCCTGTCTCTCTCTCTCTCTCTCCCTGGGGGCCCTTGTGCTGGGCACTGCTGGGAACACGTGAACTAAGTCAGCCCCCCATTCATTTGTAGTCTGGAGAAGTCTATACTCCTACTATGGTGAGTGCCCTGAGGGAAAAAACCGCAGGATACAATAAAAGGAGGGAGGAACCACTTTAGATAGGCCCCAAGCTGTGGTGGGTGGGCTTGGGTGGGAGGAGACACTGAGCCAATTTTGGGAAGAAGTGAAGGGCTAACCCTGACACCCACCAGTCACCTCAGGTCTGTGCCTCTTGGATAGGAGACACTGTCAGACATGCAGGAAGGCATGCCGCTGGGAGTCCACCTGCCATTCGTGGGCTACTCCTACTCCTGCATGGCCCTCAGGTAAGCGCTGGCTCTGTGAAGCATTCAAGTGGTGGGTTGGGGGCCCAGCCTCCCAAAGCCCCGGGACTGCCTGGGGTTACTGTATCCTGGCCCATCAGCACCCTGCAGTGTTGCAGGATCAGTTTTAGAACCTTGTCTTGGGACCCAGGATTCTAGTGCCCAGAGCTGCAAGGCCTTAAAATATTGGAGCATAAGTATTTTGAATTTTAGATTTAGTTCTTAAACCTCAGAGCCAGAGACTGGGCCTTCTAGAAACTTACAGCCTTCCATTTTGAGATTTCTGGTACACAGAGCCGTGGGACTCAGAATCTTAGAAAATAATTTGAATTATTTTAAATTTGAATTTTAAAATCAGTTTTCAAAGCACAAGCTTATTAAATCATTAATTATACAAATAATGCTTGGCTTGTCAGAAGTAAATTAAAAAACAGGGATAAGGAAAAGGAATCCTACCATTAGTGATGGTCCCTGGCTCACACAAGTGCACATGTACTGGATAATTGAGAACATAGAACATGCTGTATTCTAGTCTGTTTTCTTACCGGCCAATATATTGCAAACCCCATTTCTGATTATGAAGAAACTACTACACACGATCCCTACACTGTGTAGTATTCTGCCTATTGGGTAAGTCAGCACTTGGTTAACCTGTCCTCTCTATTATAACCCAGGCTGGATGAACAACCATAGGCTGGTCTCTGTGCATGTCCAGTATCACCAAGTCCTTGAGACATATTTCCATGAGCAGTATTGCCAGGTTGGAGGAGACATCCACTTTTATTGCAGTTTCATTTTCCTAGGGAGGGTGTGTCTCCTTGCCAGCAAGGAGTCCTGGCTCTAAACCCAGGGCTTCAGCAGCCTCTCTGGGGTGACTGGCTCCGCTTCTCCCCCTCTTCCTTTCCCCAGGGATGATGAGGTCCCAGGCCCCAGGCCCATGGAACTGGAGGCCGAGCAATTGCCTGAGCCACCCGAGCAAGCACCCAGGCCAGAGCTCCCCGTGCCCCTACCAGAGGAGACTGTGAGTCACTGGAGAGGGTCAGTGGGGGGGGGACTAGAGAGCAGAGTCGAGGGCTTCCGGGGGGTGGCGGGTGCCATGGAGTGCTGAGCCCTCTGGGAGCTTGCTTGACAGGCGATAGAAAAGAGTAGGGGTTACTACAGTCACTAATGATCCCTAGGAAGAAATGAGAACAGGCCATTGAGGGTATGGAGGCTTTCTGGGAAGGGGAAGCCCTGGAGGAGGGAGAGGAGGAGGAGCACCACCCGCGGCAGGAAAGGTGCTCATTGGTCAGCAGAGAGAACCTCAAGGGCAGAGGCTCTGCGGTGGGGGCCGGCTGGCTGTCCGCGAACATGCAAGGAGGGTAGTAAAGCAGGGCTGTTCCAAGGGGTTTGGATAGTGAGGGGTGGGAAGGCAGGAGAGGCCAGTGGAACACAAACCGAACAGGCCTTCAGGTGTGCATGTCTCCTCCTGAGGGTACGTTGGGGCTGGAGAAATTTTGAGCAGGGGAGGGACAAGATCAAGTTGAGTTAGTGTTTTAGGAACAGCTCTTCAGTTCCTGTGTGAAAGGTGGACGGGAAGGGACCAAATGAATGGCTGGAGGGGAGGTAGCTGGGGGAGGGCTGGATCAGGGAAGGAAGGGGTTAGATCACTGAGGGAGCTGTGGGGATTCCAGGAAGATCTAGGGGATGGGGGAGGAGAGGACAAGGGGGGACCCCAGGCTTGCAACCTATGTTCAAGTCTCCAGTGCTCCAGGAGCCACAGGCACCCCTAAACGCACTCCCTATACGCAGGCCGAAGCAGCAGTTTCGGAGGCTTTGCCTGAGGCAGCAGAAGCCGAGGCCGAGGTGACGCTGCGAGAGCTCGAGGAGGCCCTGGAGAAGGAGGTGCTTACCCGGCAGAGCCTGAGCCGGGAGCTGGAGACCATCCGTACGGCCAACCAGAACTTCGCCAGGTTGGAGTTGGGGCTCAGGTGCAAGTCGCTACCTTGGGCAGCCTCTCCCGCCGGGATTCGAAGGGCTCACAGTCCTTACCTCCCCGCAGTCAACTCCGCGAGGCCGAGGCCCGGAATCGAGACCTGGAGGCGCACGTCCGACAGCTCCAGGAGCGGATGCAGTTGCTGCAGGCTGAAGGGGCCGCAGGCAAGTCCCTCGTCCGCCCTTACCCCGAGGGCGCTGAAGGTGGCGGGTGGGGAGGTGGGCCGCGGCCTGTGTGGACACCTGGTGGGGAGGGCGAGGGGCCCAGGCTGGGGCACGCCGCGCCACCACCCTCCTCCGTCCCTCCACGCACCCTACGCCTCTCTCTTCTCCTTCCAGCTGTCACGGGGGTCCCCAGTCCCCGGGCTACGGATCCACCTTCCCATGTAAGAGCCCTTTTTCCTCTGCGTCAAGACTTGTGCCCCCTCTGCAGACCCGGTCCTTGTCTCCCCGTCCAGATATAGGGCTCACCTACCTCTTTGGGGTTCCAGGCGGCAGATACCCTCCATTCAGCCCCACATCTACGAGGTCTCCCTTGGTTCAGGCCATTTACGAAATCCCAATCCCGCCTGGGATCTCCCTAGATTTCTCCTATATCTTAATTCCCCTCGTTGTCTCTAGTCCTTTGCCTACAGCGGCCGGGCCAGGTGGGCTCCGATCGGGTCACCTGTCCCTTCTCTCTCCAGCTAGATGGCCCCCCGGCCGTGGCTCTGGGCCAGTGCCCGCTGGTGGGGCCAGGCCCCATGCACCGCCGCCACCTGCTGCTCCCTGCCAGGGTACGTCCGGCTGTTCACGCCCGCCGCCGCGTCCCCGCCGCGCTGCACCTACCCCAAGCCACCCCTGCTTAGCTGCGCCTGTGAGGGGCTGGGCCTGTCGAGGGGAGGGATGCTCGGGCAGCCAATCAATACAGACATCTAGGAAGTGGCCAATGACGAGCTCGGACAAGACTGGAGGCTTGAAAGCCGGCCAACCAGACGCCCGCACTGGCGTAGGGGGTGGGCGTAGGCAAGGCGAGTCCTGGGAGCCAATCTGGAACCCGTATCGCTGGTTCTGATCCCGCCCTCTCTCTCGCAGGACCCTAGGCTTGGCGTATCGGAGGCGCGTTCCCTGCTCTTGTTCGCCGCTGCTCTGGCTCGTGCCGCCGCCTTGGGCTGCTCTGGGTTGGTGGCCTACGTCGGCCACCTCACCCAACTCTGGCGCCTCCCGGGAGCCGCCTTCGCCCCCTGAACCCTAGTACTCCAGCCTGTCCTCCACTCGGGCTGCGCTGGACGGTTGAGTGATCTGGCTTGGCCCAGAGGCCACTTCCACCGCCCTCCGGTTCTCATCACTTTTAGCTACCGTCTCCGTCCCAGCTTCAGCCCTGTGATCCGGGCCCGCTCCCTGGCGGTCGGGGAGGGAAGAGCCGGGCCGCGGCCGGAGCACCGGGCTCTCGGGAGGCCTGTAGCCGGGAATGCTGCTGCTGCTGGTGGGAATCGTGGGCCACTTCCTTTTTCCGGCCTTGCTGAGGCCCCGACATGGATGGGCAAACCACGATCTAGAGAAGGCAGCAGGGCCCAGGGCTCGGACATCCGTTTTTCACACTCCACGTACCCGCTCCCCCGTCGGTCTGCAGTCCACAAATCCTCTGTGCATGAGACCCTGCTCTCGGGAAACTTTTGCTTTTGGCAGCCCCATTTTCTCGGGGGCTCTCGTGCTCTGCTCTCGGAGCCACAGCCAGCTTCTCCCGCCTCGGCGATTTGGGTATTTATTGACCTGTCCTCCGACCCGCTGACAGGCTCCAGGACCCCAGCACCCTAATCCACGTTTTGGATGCACTGAGACCCCGACATTCCTCGGTATTTATTGCCTCTCCCCACCTGGGACCCCACCCCCAGTCCCCGCGAAATAAAAGGCCCTCTCGTCTTCCCAAAGCTCTGAATTCCGTGGTGTCCGCTGTTGGCGTGGAGGAAGGAGGCTGCTCAGTGGGCCAATCAGAAGGCGAGCGGAGGCGGCCAATAGCTTTGAGGGGAGCTAGCGGGACAAGCGAACGGGCGGCGGGCCGGGGGCGTGGCTCAGAGGCCGACCAATAGGAGAGGGCAAGCGGACCACCCGGAGGCACCGCCTCTTCTCCAGCTGTGACCCAGCTGTGCCACCTGATCCCAGGGAAGAAAGGGGCTGGGCCTGCAGCGCGAGCCGCCATCCTTCTACCACTGCGCCTGCGCAGGCCACGCGTATCCGTTCCAGGACTTAACTCTCAAGAAAAGTTGCTGCAAACTTTCTAGCCCGTTTCCCCCGCCCCTTCTCCCTGCCAGACCCGCCCCTCTGCGGAGCCGGGAATTCCGAGGGGCGGAGCGCCTGCAGAGATGGGGAGTGGGGGCGCCTTCAGAGGACCCTGGAGACGGAGGCGTGCAGAAGCTCAGTCTCGGGGTGGAGGTGGCTTCGCGCCTTTATCTCTCCCGGACGGCCCGTTACCTTCTCCGTTGTCCCGATGGGGAAACTGAGGCCCTGAGCCAGAGGCACACGCGGGGGGAGGGGGGGGCAAAAAACGCGGCCTGAGGCGGAGGGAAAACAAAGGGAGAATCACGGACAGACGGGGAGGAGGACGGGCACACACACAGACACTGGGACTGAGACCCTAGTGGAGAGCTGGGCCTGGCACTGGGGGAGAGGCGCGGGGTTGGCAAAGGGAGAGCGCGAAGCGGGCTGTTGGGGAGAGGGGGGTGGGGGGCGGGCGGAGAGGGGAGACGGGCGGGGGAGTGGGCCGGGGAAAGCCCGAGGGAGGAGGAGAAGGAGGGAGGAACTTCCCAAAGTTGCAAAACATGGCTACCTTGCCTGCGGAGCCGAGCGCGGGGCCGGCGGCTGGGGGGGAGGCGGTGGCGGCGGCCGCGACCGAAGAGGAGGAGGAGGAAGCGCGTCAGCTCCTGCAGACTTTGCAGGCGGCCGAGGGTGAGGCGGCGGCGGCAGCCGGGGCCGGGGCGGGCGAAGCGGCGGCGGGAGTGGAGGGCCCGGGGTCCCCAGACGTCCCCGGGTCGCCCCCCGAGGCCGCTGCCGAGCCGCCCACGGGCCTCCGCTTCTCGCCCGAGCAGGTGGCGTGCGTATGCGAGGCGTTGCTACAGGCGGGCCACGCCGGCCGCTTGAGCCGCTTCCTGGGCGCACTGCCCCCGGCCGAGCGCCTACGTGGCAGCGATCCGGTGCTGCGCGCTCGGGCCCTGGTGGCCTTCCAGAGGGGCGAGTACGCCGAGCTCTACCGGCTGCTCGAGAGCCGCCCCTTCCCTGCCGCCCACCACGCCTTCCTGCAGGACCTTTACCTGCGCGCGCGCTACCACGAGGCCGAGCGGGCCCGCGGCCGCGCGCTGGGCGCAGTGGACAAGTACCGTCTGCGCAAGAAGTTCCCGCTGCCCAAGACCATATGGGACGGCGAGGAGACAGTCTACTGCTTCAAGGAGCGCTCCCGCGCCGCGCTCAAGGCCTGCTATCGGGGCAACCGCTACCCCACCCCGGACGAGAAGCGCCGGCTGGCCACGCTCACCGGCCTCTCGCTCACGCAGGTCAGCAACTGGTTCAAGAACCGACGACAGCGCGATCGGACTGGGGGCGGCGGCAGCATGCCCTGCAAGAGGTGAGGGGATCGGGGCGGCACAAGTCTCCCTTTCCTAGGGACCTGATGTCCACCGCCCCCTCCCCCTGCCCATGGCTGAAGTCAAGCGTGCCGTGTTCCTCCGATACACCGCGCCCGCACCCTCAGGCGCCAGTCCAGCGCCGGGAGTGCGTGTAGACCAAGCAGGCACGCGCCCTGGGCCCTCCGCCACATCACTGCCCCACTCAGGGCTCCATCCCAAGTCCCATCCGTGTTCGTGGCTGGATTTGGGGGAGGCGGTGTGAAAACGAGGGGCTGGGGGGAGGGGTCTTTGTCCACTCCATCCCTCGTGGGGGCTTTTTTCAGGCCCCTTCGCCGCCTGGCCCTTACCTGACCGTGGCTCTTCGTTCCCCCCTACCCCCCCAGGGCCCAAACAGCATGGTCTGTCGTCTGTCTTTGTTGTGAAACGTGAACCTTCCCCAGCTCCGGTTTCCCTGTAACCCAAGCCCTTCTCCTCCCACCCTGCTCGCCGGCCTCTCACTCCCGCCCGGGGGAGGGCACAGGGGACCCAGCGGGTGGCTGCCTCCTCACTCTCTCCAAAGCCAGTAGGCAGCTCTCAGCCTGCCCCGAGAGACGGGCAGCCTGGGCGCTCAGCCTCTGATGCCCGGAAGGCCAAGTGGCTGGGAGGGAGGGCCTCCTCCCTCCAGATGAGGCCAGCTCTAGCTTTTAGGTGGAGGTATCAATCAGGGTTTGCAGAGGCTCTGTTTCTTGGGTCCATCATAACCCCCTGAAATTTTCCGCAGAAGCTTGGGTGCGTAAAAGGAGGGGGTGGCAACGTCAGCCTGTGCTCCTGCTGAGCAGCTTGTAGCTGGCTGCGCAGGAGTCGAGCTGGCCAACTGGGGAACACAGCATTTGGGACCACAACTCACAACCCTTTCTCCGGCCAGCGAGGCTGATGGGAACCCCGCTACAGAGGACGAGTCCAGCCCCAGTCCGGAGGACCTGGAGAGGGGCGTGGCTCCTATGGCTGCTGACACCCCGGCCCAGGGCTCCATATTCCTGGCCGGGTCTGCCCCTCCTGCACCGCGGCCTGCCTCCTCCTCCATCCTGGTGAATGGGAGTTTCCTGGCTGCGGGCAGCTCTCCAGCAGTGCTCCTCAATGGGAGTCCTGTCATCATCAACAGCCTGGCCCTGGGCGAGGCCTCCAGCTTGGGCCCCCTGCTGCTCACAGGGGCTGGGGGTGCCCCTCCCCCACAGCCCAGTTCCCAGGGGGCCAGCGAGGGCAAGACTTCCCTGGTCCTGGACCCTCAGACCGGGGAGGTTCGACTGGAGGAGGCTCAGCCTGAGGTCCCTGAGACCAAAGGTACCCAGGTGGCTGCTTCAGGGCCAGGCGGAGAGGAGGTCCCTGCGCCTCTGCCCCAAGTGGTACCTGGCCACCCACCTGCTGCCACCTTTCCTGTACCCTCAGGACCAGTGCCCTCTGTGGCTGCTCCACAAGTGGTGCCACTTTCCCCACCCCCAGGGTACCCTGCAGGCCTGGGCCCTACCTCCCCACTGTTGAACCTGCCCCAGGTGGTACCCACCTCACAGGTGGTGACCCTGCCCCAGGCTGTGGGGCCACTGCAGCTGTTGGCAGCTGGGCCAGGCAGCCCTGTGAAAGTGGCAGCTGCCGCAGGCCCTGCTAATGTGCACCTGATAAACTCCGGGGTGGGAGTGACTGCCCTGCAGCTGCCTTCAGCCACTGCCCCAGGTACAGGCTTCTGCCTCCCTCTGGCCTGGGTGGGGGTTGCAGTTAACTGAGGAAGGGATTTGGGGGTAGGGGCAGCTCATCCCAGTCCTGTCCCAGACTGCCCTGCTTGCCCACTAGCCGCTTAATATTCACCTCGTGCCTGGCCCTTCTCCTCTCCCCACAGGAAACTTCCTCCTGGCCAACCCTGTATCTGGCAGCCCCATCGTGACAGGAGTGGCTGTGCAGCAAGGCAAGATCATCCTCACGGCCACTTTCCCCACTAGCATGCTGGTCTCTCAGGTCCTGCCTCCTGCCCCCAGCCTGGCCCTGCCCCTGAAGCCAGACACGGCCATCTCAGTGCCTGAAGGAGCCCTGCCGGTGGCCCCCAGCCCTGCCCTCCCGGAGGCCCACGCACTCAGCACACTCTCTGTGCAACAGCCACCAGCTGTCCCTGCCGCCACTGCTGCTGCCAGCCTGCCCTTCTCAGACTCCTCAGGCCTCCTGCCCAGCTTCCCAGCACCCCCACCTGAGGGGCTTATGCTGTCACCTGCAGCCATGCCCATCTGGCCAGCAGGGCTGGAACTGAGCACAGGCACAGAGGGGCTGCTAGAAGTGGAGAAGGGGCTGGGGACGCAGGCTCCTCACACTGTGCTGAGGCTGCAGGACCCTGACTCTGAGGGGCTGCTCTTGGGGGCCACAGCTGGGGGCGAGGTTGATGAGGGGCTGGAAGCTGAGACCAAGGTCCTGACTCAGCTACAGTCCGTGCCTGTGGAAGAGCCCCTGGAACTGTGACCCTGCTGGACCCTATCACCTCTCCTGACAATGGTGCTCAAGATCCAGGACTGCCCCGGAATAGGGCACCTCTCAGAAACAAGATTGCTGCAATCTGAAGATTCCTCACACTACACCCCCTGAGCGGCTACCCTGTCCTAGGCCTGGAGGTGCTGGGGAGCACTCACCCCTGTCCACTCCTGTCCAGGGGCACTGCCCTCTCCTTGCTCTGCCCACTCCCTATATATGGAGAGATTTGGGGTCCTGACTCGGGCTCTGCCAAGTGGCCGGACTCCCAGCCCCCTCGAGCCCTCGCCCTATCACTCCCTGAAACACTATTAATAGCTCCGCTGACATCCAGCGTTCTCAGAATGGCTTGGAATCTGAGGGCGGAGGACGGGCAGTGCTGTGCCCAGAGATGCAGACCCTCCCAGCTGGGCCCTTCTGCGGAGAGAGCTGCAGGTGTGGAGGCCTGAGCGAGTATCCTCCCCAAGCTCCTCCTGGACTAGAGCGCCTGTCACATCCAGCCCCAGACCAAAGATCCCCTCACCCTGGGGCAACCTGATCCGTGTCTAGTTTATATCCTAAATCTTTATTTTTCTAGGACATGTTATGCCTCCATTTCAATTAAAATAAAGTTAACAAGATAACTAGAACCTCCAAGGGTCTGGGTTACCTTCCAAATGACTTGCCCAAAGAAAACCACAAAAAGCCCAATTTGAGATTCTGGCTCTTTGATCACTGCTCCCTGATAGTGCCGTGGGCAAGGGTCAGATCTAAGGTGCTTTTTGGGAAGGGGGGGCTGTGGTCTCTCAAACTACAGGCCCTGCGGCCCAGGGGTCCTCCAGCTCAGCCAGAGGAGTGCCCGGAGCAGAGGAAACAGGACCCGGAGAGACCGCCTTGTCTCTTGCTGGTAACAAGGCTTCCACTTAGTTTATTTTGTTGAGAACAATAAATAATCTATAAATAAAACGGGAGGGAAGAGTAGGTGCAGCGAGTATGAACAGGGTTGAAACCATTGGATTCTGCAGTGGGCAAAGGAAGGGCAGAGGTGAAACCCTCCCAGTCAACTTCACTTCCCTGCATTTAATTCAGGGATTCCTTCCACCCTGCAGCACCTCTGATTGGCCACGGGGCAGAATGGGGCTGTGGGAAGGGCAGCTGCCCCAGGGCAGGCAGAGTTCAAGCTGCCTGAGTACAGGACAAACACAAAGCATCAGGGTCAATAAATCAGTCCCAACAGGTCAAGGGGACCTGCACTAGCAGGGGTGAGGCCCACAAACAAGAGCTGCAAGGGTGGGGGGAGGAGGGGAGAGGCAGGGTTACCCTCAGTCCTGGTGAGGAGGCAGCCGGGAGGACACGTTTGGGGACCTGCGGGCCTTCTCAGCCAGCAACTGGTAGAAGGGCTTGGGGGTTTCCCAGTCCTCATCTTCGCTGCTGGAGCTGTCCTGCCTCACAATCCGGTTGTGCCGGAGGCTGAACCTTCGAGCTTTGATGCTGGGAGAGAGGTGGCAGGATGGCTGGGTTCCACACTTACCCGCTGGCCACCTGGCCCACCCCTGGTGGTCTGGGCCCAGCACTAATCAGGGCCTGGGCTGGGGGTGGGGGTGGGGGTGGCCAGGGCTTTATGGTCCAACCAGTGAGCCTCTGGGCCTCCAAGTCCCCATCTAGATGGTGGGACTTGGCCAAGGGCTCTTTGCTGGAGAGTCACACTTCTGTGAATCCTTTATTAAGCATCATGCTCACACATGTGTGCTTCAGGGGCCAGTAGTGAAACACGCAGGTGGCAGCTCTTAAGATGGTGGAGAGAAGGTTGCAGGGAGGGAGAGGGGCTCAAAGAGAGGTAGGAAACGAGGAGGCCAAGCGACAGGGAAATAAGACCCAGTCCCCCACTCTGAGAAACTCCCTATGGCAGAGAGAGCAAAAGAAATTTGGGGTGGAAGGGTTCAGATCCCCAGGTAAGCCATTCCTTTCTGAGCTACAAGGTGGGGCCCCTCTCTGTTGTCCTTGCATGAAAGTTTGCAACACCCAATTATCCCACCCAGTAAACTCCACACCTGTTTCCAATCTCATGCAGCTCAAGGCTCTGAAAATCACAGCAGGGGTAAGGAGCAAGGAGGGCCCCCATTAGGCAGCCTTCTGGGCAGGCGTTTCTCACCAATACGGTCTCCGCTCCTGCACGGTCATCCCCCGCCAGAGTTGGGCCAGCTCCTTGGTGGCATCCGTGGACGGAGTCCCAGGGGAGGCTCTGGGACAGGAGGGCAGAGGTGAGGACAGGCCAGCAGGGTGAAGGCCAGCAGCCTGACCCTGGGGCTCCCTTGCTTTCTCAGCCTCAGCTTTCCCATCTTATCTTTTCTATCCGTGTTGGCCTGAAAGGCCTGTTACGCTCCCTCTGAGCTGAGTTGTCAAACAGCTGGACTAAATGGTTGGGAGGGGACACCATGTTCTGGTACCAGCACATGGATCTTCCTGTAAGGGCACCAGCTCTTCCAGTCTCTGGCTTGTGGCCAGCCCTCCCCTGGCTTCAGGTTGGTAGTGATCCAGGCTGGGCACCTGGTCCATCAAGTCAGCCCCAAGAACATTTGCTTGAAACCTTGGAAATGAGGTTTCTGCTCCCATGGGGTCGCTAGGGTGGGCCATAGGACACTGAACCTCCTGGGGTGACCCTGCCCCTACCCCACCCGGGGTGGGTGAGAACCAAGCCAACCCCAAAGAGCAAAGCAGAAGGAGGGATAAATTCCAGAGAGCATCTCGTAGGCCCCAGGACCAAGTGCGTCTGAAGACAACTACGCCTCCCCATTCTTCAGGTCACATGAGCCAATGAATTTCCTTTTTTCCTTAGACCTGAGCTGGGTTTCACTGCTTACAAATCACTGGGCCTGACCAGTGCCACAGGGCCAGGTTAAATGCTGGGGGAGAATGTGGCTGAGCAAGGGTGGGTGGGTGGTTTCTGGGAGGGCAGTTGTATCTGACAACAGCAGGGCAACCTGCTCTGAGGGCAGGTGGACAAGGAAGGGCAGGCCCCACATAGGACCAAAGAGGACCCCCTGCCCACCGAATGTATTGCTTCCGGTTCATCCTGCAGAACATGATGAAGCCATTGACACACTTTTTCTTCCTCTGGGTTGGGCAGGGAGCTCTCATGTTCTCCTTGAGCTTCATGGGGCCCCTGCCTCCCTGGCCCTTCCTGGCCTTTCTCCCAGCTGTGCTCAGTGCTGAGATCCTCTGGGTGGTGGTCCACGTGTAGTCTCTGTCCTCAGCACTGGAAGACTGCAGGCCCTGGGGGTTGGCTGGAGCATTCTGGGTGGGGAACACAGAGATGAGAGTGGGCACAAGACGCAGCACCAGCCTCAAGGATGGCTGTCTGCCCTCACCTCCTGCTGATTCCACACCAACTCTGTGTCTGGGTCCTCGAAGCTGGATTGTGTCACGATGTTCTTATCCAGCGAGAGGTAAAAGTTGTCTAGTGAGACAGAGGGCTGGCACAGGCTGTGGAAGTCAGGAGGGTCTCTGGGGGCCTCAGGAAATGTCTCCTTGAGGGGGAAAGAGGAAAAAAGGAGTAGATGTGAGGGGGCACAGCAGTGTCCCTTCATGTCCCCACTAACATGAGAATCACAAACAGCTGGGATTCAAGACAGCCTCACCCAAACATGCCCTGGACATTTAAGCAAGTGTCCCCAGGTTTCCACAGGATACCAGAGAGATTCTGGGTGGGGCTCTGCCTCCCATCCTGTGGCAATAGCTCTTCATCCTATCAGTTTCCCACTTCATGGGGGAGCTGTGAGGCCTGGGCGAGTCTTAATTTCTCTGAGCAGCATCTACAGAATAGTGGCCACCGATGTCCTTTTCAGGGCTGAGAAGAACCTAGCACTGTGCCTGGTGCTCATGAAGAACTCCACTAAGGGTGTCTGTTTTTGTTTCTACCACAGATCCAGCTACTCACGGAGGCAGGGCCTGCACCCCACCCACTGGAGGAAGAGTTGGTTGGTGACCAGAGCTGGGGCTGCTGCTCTGTCAGACGGATGGCGAGCTGCTGGAGCAGACAGTGGCTGAAGTCTGCTTCAGGGCTTGGTGGGGGGGGGTTCTGTCCAACTAAGGATTCCTGGGGTCACTCTGCTTTTTTCAGTTTCCTCATCTGTCATATGGGGTCACAAGAGACCCTGTCTCATAGAGCATTTATAAAACTATAGGGATCTCTTATGAGCACCTGGCAGCTTCAAGCTTTTATTCTCTGTGCCTAGTTCATCCCAAGTGCCCAGCACAGAGTGGGGCGCCTGACAGCCAGCAGTGAGTGACCAAAGAGTGGGCAGGTGAGGGCACAGACAGCCAGCATCTCTGGAAAGACGAGAAGCCCGAGTGGCTGGACAGGTGGGCGGGAGGGTGGGAGGCAACTCAAAAGTGGAGGAGATGGAGGAGCGAACCAAGTAGGTGAGCGCTGTGTGTGGGAAGGATGGATGTGCCTGGGGACAGAAACCTACCTTTTTCCGTGGTGCCTCGGGCATGCAGGCAGAAGGTGACAATGCAGGATCTGAGAACACCTCCTCAAAGAGAGCTGTGGGGACAGTGGGGGAGACCAGAGGGCTGGCTGGAACGGAAATGCCCCTCGCAGCACCGGGCTCTGTCCCACCATCCCTGCTGGCCGGAGTACAGTGCCCTGGCTTTCTGCTTTGAGCTCCTGTGCCCCATGTCCAAATCCAGCTCATGGGCCAGCTCCCCTGGGGCACCTCCAAGCTGGACAGAGTGATGGGTCTCCTCTGTGGGCTCCTGGAGCCTTCCACCCACCATGCCCTCCTAGGGCTGCTCCCCCACTGGGTCCGGATGGGGACATACCCCACACTGCCCAGCATAGGGCTGCGCACTTGGCGAGCATCACCACATTTTTTGAATGAGCTAAGTGTAAGGTCCGGCCTGAACGCTCACCTTGGGTCAGGCACTCAGTGCCATCCTCCAAGATCTCTTCAGACAGCAGTTTTCCTGGTGAGCTGAAGAGGGTGGGGCTGAATCCTAGGATCTCACTCGGGTGGCCTGTCACACTCCAATTGCTAATCTGGGGAGGTTCCAAGGCCAGTGGGCTCCCTGAAAAGGAAATGCCAGGCCCAGGTGGCTGTCAAGAGATCGCCCTCTCCCTCAGCACAGCAGCTGGCTTGGAGAAGATGGTGCCAGGCACTGGGGAAAGGGAAGGTGGCATTGCCAGTTGTTCATTTTGAGGGCTTGGTAAAGGAAACAAAGCAGCACGATGTTTGGCATTATGCCAGGAATGACAAAAAAAAAATCAGTATCATGATGTGATATGCCAGATCCGATACACTGGTTGGAGATTTCTGGGACTTGGTATAATGAAGATTCTGAGGCAGGGTCTGGGATCAGCATTGAGTATTGACTGATTAGCAATGTATGCCATGCAACCAATGGCTCCCGGACAGAGCTCACTGTGTGCTTGCCTTCCCTGTGCTTAGCAGACATTCCCTTTCCCACGTCTCCCTCCCACAGAAATCCTCGGAAGGAAGGTACCCAGAGGTCCCACACCAGCCAACAAGGAGAGACAGTTCAGTCACCATGGGGGCTGCCCTCTGGGATCCAGGCAGGAAGCCAAGGGTCAGAATTCCGGGACTCCTTGTCTGCCTCCTCACTGGAATCGTAGAACACCAGGTTCTGCCTGCAAGAAGTGGAATTCAAGAGGCAGGGATCTGGAGCCCTGGGCTGGGAGCTGCTGAGTGGCTGGGTCAGCTGGCTCCCCCTTGGGTGTCTCAGTGTCACCCACCATGAAATAAGACAAGGATGGGGCTGTGCTAGCTGCTGGGGGCAGAAGGCTTAGTCAGCTGCCATGCCCACCCTCAAGGAGCTTCCAGCTGTGATGAGATGCTGCCCACTAGGGCCACTGCTGTGATGGGCCAAGGAGATGGTAGGCAGGCAGGAGGGAGGACACCCCTGAGCTCAGCCCGAAGGATGGCAGTTTTTCAGGTTGATGAGGGGAACAGGCTTGCCAGGAAGAGGGATCAGAGAGTGAAAAGGCCAGAGAAGGTCTCAGAAGCCAATTAAGATATTTGGGCTCTTCCCTATGGGCACTGAAGGAGGGTATAGAGCTACAAACTGACATGGTCAAGGTCTGTGTTAGAAAAGCCACTCCAGCAACTAGTGAGGATAGGCTGGAAAGGTGAGACAGGAGGTGCAGGGGGTCTGGTGAGGGGCTGTGGCCCTGGTCCAGCAGACAGAGCAAGGCTTCGAGCCTACCACACCTGCACAAAGTGAGGCCCACGGCAGCCGTTCCAGAGCATACACCTCAGCGTCCCCAACTCACAGCCCCGGGGCTCCCTTACCTAGAACAGGTCTGTGTCCTATTGAGAAAACGGATCCTCTCAGGCCCTTGCTGGACCTGGAAGGCATGGTAGGTCCCAACATCCTGGGCACTCCGTTTGCCACAGCAGCCTAAGGGGGCAAGTCAGGACAGTCAGTCCCATGACAGGGCCAAATTCCGGACTCTCAGATTCAGGGACAGAGAGGTGCCAGGGCCTGCTACAGCCGCTCCTTCCCTCATCCTAGCCAATGTCTGGCTGCCTGGCTCTGGGTGAGGTTTAGGGATGGCCCTGAAGTACCCCCAGGCTTTTGGAGTCTCCCTTCCCTGTTAGAAGCTTAAGGAAGATAAAACCCTTAGGTGGAATCCTGGCGGTGAAGATGATGAGAGCGAACAAGCACACAGTGTTTGTCAGGCCTCATGGTTTTATCATTTTATACAATTCAGTAACCCTCTGCTAAAGGGAACTTTTATTATAGTCAAGTTAAGTAAACTGAGGCATTGAGTGATAAGTGACTTGCACCAGGCCACACAACCAGCAGATCTGGAAGCCTTGCCTCCCAAGGTGGGCCAGGCGCCTCCCCTGGGCCCTCACGGCCTCCTAGGCAGCCCCAGGGTGGCTGGGTCACTCTGGACCACGGTGATAGTGTGGGACTCCTCCTCTGGACCGTGTCACCAGCACCGTGCACATGACTGGTCCCGGAGGAGACGCTCAGGGAGTAGGGCTGAATGGGTGGGTGAAGAAGGGGGGGACTCAAGGCCTTGCCTTCCAATCACCCCCTTTCTCATCATCTCTGCTGGGTGCAGCCTCACGCCTTTTCAGGCTGACACAGCAACGGGGAGTCACGAGGGCGTCTGGCAGCTTCAAATGAAGCCTCTAAGTCCTGTGAGGAGGCCTTGCCTTCACCCCAGTTCTGCAACCCGCAGCCCCGCACGAGGGCGGCACTGATCAGCAGGAAGAGAGAACTAGGAAGAGACCATGAGACACCGTCTCTCTTGTCCACCCTTGAAACTCTGGCTACTGCGACTGTGCCCAGGATGTCACAGGTGCTGCTAAGCAGTATATAAATGGCTAAGTTAATGGTGAGGAGAGACCAACTTGAGATGTCAGAGCCTAGCACTGTCCTCAGCCGTATCCAGCAACACCAGCCAGGATCTTCCTTCCTTTCTGTCCCACTGAGGGGCAGATGACACAGCCTTGGGGTGACTGCATGGGTTGGGGCCTCTTGCAGGGGTGGTGGGTCCCCCAACACTTCCTCCTTGCTGGCCTGGGCATGGGGCCACCCACTTCTTGGATTTGTCCAGGGCCGGACAGCATTGAGGGTTCTGGGCCTGAGTCTGATGTTCTGAGAGAGCAGAGGGATGGGTGTTAGAGGGGTTGGGGCCTGGCTGTGACCAGAAGAGGACTCAGGTCAGAGGTCTTCTTTGCTCAGGACCCAACAACCTGTTCGAAAGCCTCGGCTGGCCTGGTCTCTCACCAGCCCTTCCTGGGTAAGCCGGGGTCCTGAATTAGAGATCACCTAGTCTGACACAACCTTTCTCTGCCCACACATTAGAAGCACCTTGCAAGCTCTGAACAAAAACTGATGCCCAGGTTCCACCCCGACCACTGAAACTAAAGTTTCTGGGTGTGAGGCACAGGCACGGGGTTTTGTAAAAAAAGCACCCTGGATGATTCACACAGACAGCCAGGGCTGGAAATCATTGATTAGGTCCAACTTGCATTTTAAAGACACGGAAACTGAGGCCTGCAAATGGGGAAGGGACATACAGGGAGTTAGTAGCAAGGCTGAGGCTGGACCTAGGATGCTTGCGTCTTTCCGCCACCCATGCTTCCCGAGGCCTGGGCCCAGGGGTGGATGACTGGGCATAAAGACAGTAAGTGCCATGGCAGCTTCCATTCACTGAGCACTGACCATGTGCCTCTGCACTTAAGTATTGCTTGAGTAGGATGTACATAGGCTCCTAATCCTTTAGGCCACCCCGTGGTAGGTACTACTCTTTCCAGATTGGGAGACAGAGGTTCAGAGGAGGAGAGTAACCACTCTAAGCCTCAGAGCTAGAAAGAAGAGGAGGAACCAGGAATTGAACCCAGATGCATCTCACCCCAAAGCCTGGTCAGGGGCTCAGGCTAGCTGCCCCAGCCTCTCTGGAGTGGCGACCCCCTGGGAGAAGGGGCCCGACTGACCTCTGCTGCCTGTCTGCTGCTACTGATAGCTTGTACCTGATGCCCCTACCAGCTGTTTCTTCTTCCAAGGTTTCTGGCAGGCTCCCCAAAGATGGGACTTTTGAGAGAATGGGGAGATTGATGGGGTAGAATGTCTCCGCCTCACCGGGCCCAAAGCTGGGCTCCAGTACAGCCCTGCGCAGGATGGGAAAAGAGGCAGATCAGATCAAATGCCTCAGTTTACTTAACGGGAAAAGAAGGTTTCCTACCTTCCAGACAATGCTTTTCAATCCTGGGTAGAAGGGAGGGGGACAGCCATGGTGTCCAGGCTGACTTTACAAATGTGGAAACTGAGGTCCTGGGAGGAGATTGGACTGGTGTGAGGGGGCACAGCCAGCCGTTCTGGGCCTTGGCCAAGAGGGAAGACGGGCTCAATGCTTCCTGATTCCTCCTCCTACCTTCCTTAGGACAGTGAGGGCCCCACCACCCACCCTCATTAACATCATCCAAATTTACCCACCTCTGTCCACATTTCAATGGCAGTGGTAGATGAGGCCTCACTGCCTCCTGTCCAGATCACTCTTAAAAGTACCTTTGCTGAGCTCCCTGACTTGTTCCTCACTTAATAACGAGTCCTCCCACTAGATGTCAGGGACCTCTTCCTTAAAAAAATCTGATCACGGCTTTCCCCTGGCTTAAAGTCCTTCCGTAATTCTCCTCACCTTCATCTCCCTCCTCAGCCAGGTGCTCGAAGCCCTTCAGGATCTTGTACCTGCCTCACCTCCACCATCGTGCCATGTATTTTTCGCACCAGGAACAATGACAGCACCCAGCACACACAGTACGGGATGGCCAGCCCGTCCTGGACACAGGTGTTACAGCACCCTCTATGTGTACTAACTCGTGGACTCTTCACAACAAGCACAGAAAGGAAGTACTAGTATCGATCTTGTTTTGCAGATGAGGAAACAGGCACAGAGAGGTTAGGTCAGAAGATGTGTCTGGGTCAGGATCTCCCTCAAGAGCTGGCATGTGTTGTCTCAATGCTGTACGGGCCCTGCACAGTCCCTCCCATCACACCCAACTGCTTGCTGCCCCCAAACATTCCAAGCATGCTTCCTCATGCCTGCACAGTCTTGCTCACGTTGTTTCTTCTGCCTGGCGGGGTTCCCCATTTACTGCCCTCGAAGGCCCAGTGCCAAGGCACCTCCCCGCCAATCTTCCCACACACCTTCCTCTGAGTTCCAAGCATCTTGCACGTCTCTGACTTTTTCCCTCTGCCAGGTTTGAGATCCAGGAGGGCCTGGGCTTGTCTAAGTCAGTCGGTGTCCCTGACAGCCAGGACAATGCTTGACATGTAGCAGGCACTGGGAAATGTTGGCCAAACTCACTTACCCCCAAGCCCACCATCCCCGCTGGAGATGTGGCGTCTGAGCAGGGCCTTGGTCACATCAGCGCTTCTCTGGAGGTGCTGAATGTAGTGCAGGATGTGCAGCAGAATCTCCTTCTGCCGTCAAAAGAAAGACAAGGTTGAGCACAGGAGCAGGGGTCCAGGAGAACGTGAGCTGTAATAAACTCCTAAGTCATAAACTGATTGACTGTGGGATAAGCATTATGAATAACAGTATAACAAGAGTTTCTGAAATTAGCGTTGGGCATCTGGAAAGGCCTCTCTGAAGCAGCAGCATTTAACCTGAGACCTGAATAATGGTGGGAGTTAGCCTGATGAGAAGGGGAGCGAAGAGGTCCATACTGCGCTGATTGAACTGAATCCCTAGAATTTACAATAAGACCATTAGCAGTAACCTTCCAAACCCTAAATCAGGAAATGTGGTCTCATAAGGGGACTTCTGGGAAGTCATTCCATAAAATTCACTAAAACTATCTCACCTGATCCTGAGAAGGAAGCCACGGTCTAACTAAGGAATACACATGATGCAGCCAAGAGACATTAATTTGGGAGGACCTAGATCCAATCAATCTGCCACTTACTGGCCAGGTGCTAGGAGTAGGTCATTTTTCTTCTTCGAGACTTAGTTTCCTCATCTGTGCAAGGGGAATGAGGATACTCATTCAGGCTCAGAGAATGATCATTAGGACTGAATAAGTCAGTGGATGTGAAATCACACAGCACAGAGCCTGATACATATCTAATGCACAGTCGCCTTCATTGGGTTCTCAAGGGATTAAATGAGGACCTTTTATACCTTTTTATAACTAGGCCATGGTTTCAAGAGCAGAGACTGTGTTTTAGCTTAGCATCTCCAACACCAGGCTTGGCACATGGTCAGCATTCACTAAGCTGAAGTCTTTGTAAATTGTAAAGTAATATAAAATGTTACTTATTTTTACTAGTATAAAGGTTTTATGCAGAAGGCAATTGGGCATCATCTCAGATTTCAGGACAGAAGGCCCAATAATTGATACTTCAGGGACCTGAAGTATCAGGTCCTACAAGGTTAGCTTGGAGCCTACACCAGAGGTTATCTCAGAAAGCTTCTGAATGTAAGATTGACAGGACCTGTAACTGTCCCAACAGAGGGAATTCACTCATTCATTCAGCAAACATCGATTGAACCTTGAGTGACACAGTGGTTGAGGATGTGGGTCTGTGGAATGAGACACAGCTGACTCTCTCTCCCACCTGCCATTAATGAGCTGTGTCCCCCCTGAGTACTATGGAGCCCTCCAGTTTCCTCAGACTGAAAAATGAGCATACCCATGCACATCTCACAGGCCTTGGGGGTTAGACTGAATGAGAAAACGCATACACAATGCTCGGCACAAAGAGTCTGACACGTAGAACTCTCAGTAAATTGGGAGTAATTGTTACTGTTATCTGCTTTGTGCTAAGCCCTGTGGGTGCTCGGGGGAGAGATTTTTCTATTATGGTTCTTATCCTCTCAGCACTCTTCACCTAAAGAGACTGAGAGATAAGGAAACCATTGTAGAAATATGCTAAGGGCTTTGATGGTCAGAGAGAGAATCCACAGGACCACATGGGACAGGGGGCATTTAGGATGGTGAGGACGATCCCATAGATCTGCATCCCAAAGCCCAAACATGGGAGAGGCAACACATACTCGCTCCCGTTAGTTCCTTGGGCAGTGGACTGAGCGAGTCCCACAGCCCTGGCATGAGGTGGGATGATGCACTTCGGGCAGACTGGTCAGGGAGGCTGGGGACTGACGGGGATGCAGGGTACATGTGGAGCAGCGGACTGAGGACTGAAGTTAAGGAAGGATGAAGACAGGGAAGAAGAGGGATCCTTGAGACAGCAGAGAATTCAATGCTAAAGAAAGTGGGCTGTGACTGATGGACAGTGACTGCATTGGGGTGTGGGTGGGGACTTGATAATATGGGTAAATGTAGTAACCACATTGTTTTTTCATGTGAAACCTTCATAAGAGTGTATATCAATCATACCTTAATAAAAAAAAAAAGAAGTGGGCTGTGGCCTGGGGATAATTCCATGCAAAGTGGTCATCTGGTCAGTAATGAAATGTTTCCTGTCCCCTGACTAGACTACCATTCCTCCAGGGCAGGGACTGTGTCCCAGTCATCTCTGCTCCCAGGAGTTTATCGCAGTACCTATGCACACCAAACAGTCAAATGTTTGAGGACAGAGGACAGAATTCCTCAAATATTTTTATCACTGTGGTGGTCTGCATAATGCCCCAAAGTCACCCATGTCCTGCTCCCTGGAACCTGTGAATATGCTGCCTTGTATGACAAAGGTGAAGTTGGCAGATGTGATTGAGCGAGGATCTTGATGTGGAGAATATTCTGGATTATCTGAGTGGGCCCAATGCAATCCCAAGGGTCTTTATAGGTGAGAAGGTCAAAGGCAGAGAAGGAAAAGTGATGACAGGAGCAGAGGAAGAGAGGGAGAAAGATTTGAAGATGCTACATGCGGGCTTTGAGCAAGAGCCAAGGAGCACAGTTGGCCTCCAGAAGTTGGCAAAGGAAAAGGAGACAGATTCTCTTGGAGCCTCCAAGAGGAACCAGCTCTGCTGACTCCCTGACTTTAGATCAGCAAGACTGATTTTGCACTTCTGACCTCCAGAACTGTAAGAGTGCATGTTTGTGTTGTTTTAAGCCTTTGAATGCATGGTACTTTGTCACAGTAGCAATAGGAAATTAATACAAACATCTATGACTGAGATATTCAGGAGAGGGGTCAACATGACCCAGTGAATGATGGGATGCGGTGACAGGGAGATCAGGGTTAGGGTCTGGCAGCTCCCCCAAACACCTGCTCCTCTGAACCTCTCTGAACCAAGTAGCACATTCCAGCTGGGATCAGTTACTCCTGAGTTCAAATCTCCATCTTCCTGACCAGATTCTGAATTCCCAGAGGATGAGGACAGGTCTCAAATTTCTTTGCCTCCCCTTGTCATGACCAGAACAGCTTCTGACATTCAACAATCTTTCCATCAGTGACTGATGAATAAATGAATGAATGAATGAATGAATGAGAGGAACTATAGCAAGATAGCAAGGAAACATCACACTAAGCCTTCAGGGCCTCTGAGCCCCACATTCGGCTGTTCCCACTGCGAGCGGGGTGTCAGCGCAGCACCACATACATTTACTGACTAGCCACTGGAAGATTTATCTATTCCTATCTTGTGGAGATGATCCCCACAGGTCACAAAACAAGGGACTCAGAGGCCCAACACCGGCAGTTTGACATGGCTTTCATGTCTTTTGGTCTCATAATATCACCGGATAGTAGGAATCATTTTTCATTTTATAGCTGAGAAACCTGAGGCTTGGAAGGCTGAGAGCTGAGCAGCAACCTGCCCAGAGCTCCGCGTTGTGGAGCTGAAGGGCTCCCGTGGCTGGTTGACTCCCAGACGGATGACCTCAACCCGGCTCCTTGTCTGTTTTTCCCTTCCCAGTTTCCTCTGCCTCCTGGGCAAGGAAGGATCACCCAGGCTTCTAGACATGGGATGGGAGAGTCCCAGGAATTCGCATTCAGAGCAGGACCATTCCCATCTCAGTGGTGTCACTGAAAGGCTCTGTCTGGGTTTCCCAGGACGAGGGAGGTTAGCCGGGTTACTGATATTTTCAGATCTGCCTCCCAGTTCGCCTCCTCTCCTTCAGTGCCCATACCTTGGTGAGCTTTTTGGGACCTATCTTCGGGGCCACAGGTAGCAGCAGTGCCAGCTCTTGAAGTTTGCCAGTGTGGTTTTTCCTCTGCCTCCTGCTTTGGGACAAGAGCTGGTTTGGTTAGGACATCCAAAATGGAATTTGGCATCTGAGCCCCAAAGAACCGTCTCAGTGTTCCCCATCTCAGAGACCCCCCCTTGCCCTAGGCACCCAAGACAGAATCCTGGGCATCCTCTTGTCTCATCAGTCTCCCTCATCCCCTTGTTCAGTTGGTCACCAAATCCTGCCCAACCGTCCTCCAATCCCTTCTCCCCATCCCCACCACTGACGTCCTTATAGTTCTCCTGGACTCCCATCGGCTTCCTCCAGTCCATACTCTCTACTAGAGGCAGGGTGATCTTTTCTGGAACACAAATCTGACTGTGATTTCTCATCTGTGCAATGGGAATGAGGCTCTTCACTCGGGCTCAGAGGATTATCACTAGGACTGAAAAAATTACTATGTATGAAACTGCCCAGCACAGAACCTGATCCATTAGTTGCCTAATAAGTGCTTTGGACCTCTCACTGCCATCCCTCATGGCTCATGGCCTGGCCCAGCTGACCATTCTGGTATCTCTCCTACTGCCTTTGGTTCTTTCCCACCAGCTGACCTAACTCTCAGGCAGGTGAGGTGCCTCTGCTATGGACCCCCAGCTCATGCAGGCCTCTGATCCCTGCCCTGAGCTGAGAGCTGGGGGGGAAAGGGGGGGCCACTGTATGTCAAGCACCTGGAACAGGGTCTGGTGCATTGTGGGAACTTGCTGCGTTTTGCTAAATGAATAAATAAATAAGGACATGAGAGAAGTCGACTCCTTGGCACATGCAGAACTTCTGGGATCTAATCCTTGAATTCATAATTCATAATACATCCATGCACACACACCTCCACCCCCTCTCCTTACAGATGGAGACACAAAGACGCTGGAGTCTCTCTCCCAAATTACACACCACGGCCACTACTCCTTTGGGAATGCCCAGGCACCACTTATCTCCGCCAAACCTTATCTCACCTTCCTTCAGGACCCAGTTCAACTGCCACCTGCCCCAAGAAGCCTCCCCCACATCCCCTTGTCTTCCTCCCCGATTCTGTATGTATATTTGGTTTCTATCACACCCATGAACTGACACCTCTTCTTTGCCAGGCTCTGTGCTGGACCCCACAGAGTGGGAGAGGCATGACTGCCACTGCCCTCCAGGAGCGGTGTGAGAGACACACTTATCCCCCTAACCAAACCCTGAAGTCCTAAAAGAATCCAGCTCGCTCATTCATTCAGCACCTCCTATGTGTCAGGGAACTGTGATAGGCAACAGGGACAAAAGTATAAAAAACAAACACAGCCCTGTCTACAGCCCACAGGATAGTCAGAGATAAAGCCATTAATCAAATTGTCACACAAACAAACATAATATTGCCACTGGGATCAGAACCAGCTACATAAATTACTGGGGTGGGGGTGCTCACTGTGAATGAAAATGTGGGCCTCTTGTTCAAAACAAGAATTTCAAGATGCTGAGAGCAGAGCGTCACACAAAGCACGGGACTATTCTAAGCACAGGGCCCTGTAACTGCACGAGTCACATGCCCATGAAGTGGCCCTGATGGGGACAGAGGAGGGGTGTTGTTGAAGCTTGTAACAGGTGGCTTTGATCTAATCTGTGAGGTTTTTCCCTGAGGAAGTAAACCTGGCCAGAACCTGTTCTGAAGGATGAGGGGAAATGTAGAAGCGAGAAAGAGAATCTTTCAGATAGAGGGAACATGCACAAAGGCCCTGTGGCACAAGGCAGCATGAAGAATTCAAGGGAAACAAAGCTGAAGTGTCTGGACCATGGAAAGCAAGGAGTCCTGTGGGGTGAGATGAGGCTGGAGAAAGAGAGCAGGGCTAGAAGACGTAGTGTCCTACAGGCTCCTCTAGGCAACAGTTTTGCCTTTAAAGACCACCAGGAAGCCATTAAAGGGCTTTACGTAGGAGATAACATCATTAGCGTACCTTCTCAAAAGTGCTATGAATATGAGACTATATTTATTAGTCAACTAAATGAAGGCATAAAAGAAAAAAAATCACCACTTGGTCTTTCATTACCTCCCAGTAGAAACTATAACTTTGAGGGGCAAGGGTTTTGGGGTTCTGTCCTTGAAGAAAAACTGGTTAGGTTGACCTCTCACGTCCTGTCTAGCCCTGACATTTATTTTTTCCATTCCACTTTCTTTCCATTCTGGAGGAGCCCTTGGATGCCCCAGCAAGACGCTACATAGAAAGCAAGGAAGAAAAGCAACCAGGTCTATTTACGTTTAAGGTGTTATTTGACCATGTCTAAGAAAAAAGGTTGCCTCCCAACTGTAGTCCCTAGGTATTTACTCTGGGTTTTGCAAAGCACCGAGAGAGCCTTCTGTGCAAACACAGAAATTCCAGGAAAAAAATGTGGAGAAAGAAAAGGGGTGACTAAGAATCGCAAACCCTCCTCATCTTGGACGCAGTCCTGAACAGGTGCCCCTTGGACTCTGCCCATAGGGTCCCCTGGGAGGTGAGCACTCCCTTCCAAGGCTGCCCCTTTCCTTGCTAGATGGTTCTGGGTTCAGGCAAGTTCTTTCCTCTTAGTGTCTATAGTTTCCACACACTGGTCCCAGCTCTGCCCTCTGGGTTGGCAGGGAACACGTCAGCTCCAGTGATGTGAGTCCTTTTTCTGTTTCTCTAAACTGCCAAGTTTATTTCTCCCTTAGGGCTTTTACTACCTGGAAGGCTTTTGCCCTGATTATTGCATGGTTAGTTTCTTCTTTGACATTCAATGCATTTGCCTAAATGTAACCTCCTCAGGGAAGCCTTTCCTGACCACCCTATCTAAACAAGCACATTCTTTGTCACATCCCCACATCATTTAACAGCATGTGAAATCTCCCTTCTTTCTCTATTATAAACTCCACAGGACAGGGATTTTTGCCTTTTTTAATTACCCCTATATCCCAGGCTAACCTATCCACGAGGCACAGTAAGCCGGTGATATTTTTAGGGGCTCATGAAGATGTCTAATTTCTTTTAAAATCTGAAGAAAAAAAGTGAATATAGTCCAACCTGGATTATATTCGTCTTTATGTCAATGCTATCATAAACTATAAGTTTTAATATGGTTTTCATGGAGGAAGGGAGCCCAAGAAAGCAAAACTGCTTTGGGCTTCTGAAAGTCATAATGAGGCCCTGCCTACATCCCTAGCTCCTAGAATAATGCCCAGCATTTAGTAGGTGTTCAATAAAAAAATTGTTAATGAATATTCCTTCTGTTTTATAATGGCCTCTCAGCCTTAGAAATGGCAAATAACTAATTCTTGGGTGTCTTTTTCTTAGAGCTAGTCAGCCTAAACACACTCTAGTTTCTTTATTTTACGGGAGCTGGAAAGGGCCTTAACCGAGAACTAGTCCAAATTTCTCACATTAGACATGGGAAAACCAAGGCCCAGACCCTAATTTGCCTTGACATGCGCAGGAACTTAAGAGTAACAGCAGCCCCAAAGTGGGACAAAGCAGAGGGCAGTCCCCAGAGGCAGCATAAGTTGGTAATAACCACCAGCTTTTGAAGCAGACAGACCTGGACTGAAACCCAAGCTCGGCCACTAGCTGTGTGACTCTGGACAAGTGCTTATTACCTCCCAGTAGAAACTATAACTTTGAGGGGCAAGGGTTTTGGGGTTCTGTCCTTGAAGAAAAACTGGTTAGGTTGACCTCTCACGTCCTGTCTAGCCCTGACATTTATTTTTTCCATTCCACTTTCCTTCCATTCTGGAGGAGCCCTTGGATGCCCCAGCAAGACGCTACATAGAAAGCAAGGAAGAAAAGCAACCAGGTCTATTTACGTTTAAGGTGTTATTTGACCATGTCTAAGAAAAAAGGTTGCCTCCCAACTGTAGTCCCTAGGTATTTACTCTGGGTTTTGCAAAGCACCGAGAGAGCCTTCTGTGCAAACACAGAAATTCCAGGAAAAAAATGTGGAGAAAGAAAAGGGGTGACTAAGAATCGCAAACCCTCCTCATCTTGGACGCAGTCCTGAACAGGTGCCCCTTGGACTCTGCCCATAGGGTCCCCTGGGAGGTGAGCACTCCCTTCCAAGGCTGCCCCTTTCCTTGCTAGATGGTTCTGGGTTCAGGCAAGTTCTTTCCTCTTAGTGTCTATAGTTTCCACACACTGGTCCCAGCTCTGCCCTCTGGGTTGGCAGGGAACACGTCAGCTCCAGTGATGTGAGTCCTTTTTCTGTTTCTCTAAACTGCCAAGTTTATTTCTCCCTTAGGGCTTTTACTACCTGGAAGGCTTTTGCCCTGATTATTGCATGGTTAGTTTCTTCTTTGACATTCAATGCATTTGCCTAAATGTAACCTCCTCAGGGAAGCCTTTCCTGACCACCCTATCTAAACAAGCACATTCTTTGTCACATCCCCACATCATTTAACAGCATGTGAAATCTCCCTTCTTTCTCTATTATAAACTCCACAGGACAGGGATTTTTGCCTTTTTTAATTACCCCTATATCCCAGGCTAACCTATCCACGAGGCACAGTAAGCCGGTGATATTTTTAGGGGCTCATGAAGATGTCTAATTTCTTTTAAAATCTGAAGAAAAAAAGTGAATATAGTCCAACCTGGATTATATTCGTCTTTATGTCAATGCTATCATAAACTATAAGTTTTAATATGGTTTTCATGGAGGAAGGGAGCCCAAGAAAGCAAAACTGCTTTGGGCTTCTGAAAGTCATAGGCCCTGCCTACATCCCTAGCTCCTAGAATAATGCCCAGCATTTAGTAGGTGTTCAATAAAAAAATTGTTAATGAATATTCCTTCTGTTTTATAATGGCCTCTCAGCCTTAGAAATGGCAAATAACTAATTCTTGGGTGTCTTTTTCTTAGAGCTAGTCAGCCTAAACACACTCTAGTTTCTTTATTTTACGGGAGCTGGAAAGGGCCTTAACCGAGAACTAGTCCAAATTTCTCACATTAGACATGGGAAAACCAAGGCCCAGACCCTAATTTGCCTTGACATGCGCAGGAACTTAAGAGTAACAGCAGCCCCAAAGTGGGACAAAGCAGAGGGCAGTCCCCAGAGGCAGCATAAGTTGGTAATAACCACCAGCTTTTGAAGCAGACAGACCTGGACTGAAACCCAAGCTCGGCCACTAGCTGTGTGACTCTGGACAAGTGCTTTCATCTGTCCAGGCCTGTTTTTAACTCATTTATAAAGTGGACGTGGGCTAGGAAGTTTGGTCTTGTCTGGAAGGTGTTTAGAACAGTACCCGGCACATAGGGAATACTCACGAAATGTTAGTTCAAGACA